GCCTGGCTACAGATTCCTCTAGGTTATTAGTGCAAATGACAAAACCATGCGTTTTGGTGTATGCCTTCAACCCTTTAAATGCAGTGACAAGCCTGGGTAAAGGCGCCAGAACAGCTGATCGATGCTTCAGATCCACGACGTATTAGACAGCTTTATCTCTGAATAGTTTTTGTCTCAACGTCATCCTCTCCCCATTTTGGTGTTAATCATAGTATGAATTCTGTTTCAATGGGTTAATGGGGCTCTGATAGTGGTGTCACCAGGGCGTGCTGGGAACCTGGTTACCTAAAAATGCCACATGGGCGCAGTGACGACGTCCCAGCGGCTTCCCCAACGGTTCTGCTTTCCACACCTTCACCCTACCTCTCAGTCTGCACCTGATGCGCCCTTGAACAAAAGCTGTGTGGCACTAGGGTTGTCGCTGACACACCTGACAAGCATAGCCCAGATACAATGGTTCCTCCGTGCTACGACGTCCCCGGTAAGTGACCCTCCAGACGCTGGCTCAGCTGTCGTGGTGACATGTGCAAGCTCAGCCTTCTTCATTGTTCCTCAAAATCACAAGCGCACTGCATTCAGACCGGTAGAGTGCCCGTAGTCGGCTTGGAGTAGGAAACCGAAGTCTCTTTGATTCTCTAATTGGCATTCCATTCCTTTAGAGACATGGATTCCTGGTTAAGGATCATTGTCCATCAATGTATCACAGATGAATGCCTCCTGATGGCCGTGCCACAGCGGCCCAACTGATAACTCAGGCCTGCACGTTCTGGCTCTTGCCCTTAGCGAACACACTCATTACGCCTTACTCTCTTGGAAGTAAGTTTCGTTCAGGATTGCAGCAACTCGTTTCAAAGGCCATCTAGTGGAACTGGTTAACATGGCCTTCTGCTCTCACACTTCATCCAATCTCGTTTAAAGATTATTTCTACAATGAAGTGCAAATGTTGGTGAACCATATACCTAACATCGATATCCTGATGGTTGCGGGCGAATGGAATGCTGGGGTTTAGCTGACATCACCCGTCACATCCTTGGATTGTTGTGCCCAGAAAGACGCTGTGAAAACGGTGGCCGATTGATTAACTCTATCGACCTAGGTCGCTCTCTTTTCATTATTAGACTTTATTCAAATAAATTAACATTGTTGTACGTCAGTGAAGCCCCAATGTTCTTTTGGTGTTGCTGGTTCCAACACCTTTCCAGCATCCGAGAAAGCATCTACCCACCTGGTATTCCAATGACAGTCGCACTGCTTTCCAAATAAATTATGTCCTGGCGGTAGCTCGGTGCGCATCGTCCGTTGAAGACTGGGTCTAACCGAGGGGCAGAAACCGGGGATAACTTCGATTTCGACTATACACCTACACAACGGATTTACATGGGTCACTTCTAGAAAGAAAGTGCCTTTGTGCATTTGTGATCACCAGCCAGCTTACCGTCAAGTTATCACTTCGAGTTCGACGTATCTCCGTCGAAGAATCCTGATTTTGTCTGAAGATGTGCATACCACAGGCCTCCACATTACTGTTAGGCTCACAGTTTGACACCACAAACATTGGATCTTCGAAAGCGTCATCTGTCTCTCCCAGCAAGTTGCCGGGTGTGCACGACTAACGCTTCCAACTTCCGCGGTTTGTCAGAGATTGCTTATTCTATGTATGAGGCTGCAAACTTCGATGATTGCCATAATCTTTTCCCGGCTGATCCGTCGCGCTTCAGGTCAGTGGCAGGGTCAGGAAAGTAGTCATCGAGACGCTGATGGTCAGCTGAAAACTGACTATGAGAAAAGGTGAAGCGATGGACTGAACACTTCAGCTCACTCACCCAAATACCATCTACTCACCACAGCCGCCACAACTTCCACATCATGCACCATCGATTGCTGTGTCCTTAGTTAATATTAACCGATATAATCAAGTTACTGGAGAACAAAAGGTCTCCAGAAGAAATCAACATGATTGTCATTGACAACAATACACGGGTAATACATACTGGTACCGTAAGAACACGAGGAAAAAAACCTTAGTAAAATGTGGAAAGAAAAGTAAGGGGTTAGGATTAATTGCGAAGAAGCTTATGTCCTTAAGGAAAACGATTCAGTATAAGATGCATACCTTTAGACAGCATCAAAATAAACACGCCTGCGCATCATGTCAGAACAAGGCACTATTAGCGGAATCAACCCAGCGTCATTTTGCATACCTCACCTGACATGAGCCCAACGCACAATGACGGGCGAAATTGAGCTGAACACTCCAGCTGCGAAATGACAGAATGTGCGCTACTGAGGCCTATTGTGTTCCATGTCCTGACCACCTACAAGCAGGACCTTATGTGCTCCAACCAGGAAGGTGCGAAGATCCGGCAGCACCCAGTTTGACAGCGACCATAATAATAATAATAATAATAATAATAATAATAATAATAATATAGTTCAGCTGTAACACTTTCGGTGGATAGCTATCACTTCATCCGAAGGAAGCACAAGGACGGAAATACTGCCAGGTTGCTCGAGCCTAAAAGGGAGCAGTCGAGATGTAGAGGTCGGGTTAGAGCTACGGACCATCCGGTCAGTCGATTCGCGCTCTAACCACTGATCCATCTCGAGCTCAGTCTGACAGTAGCCACCTTAATTCCACGTTGCCATATCATGGACTTTCTCCCGCGAAGTTTCCAACAGCAGTCACTCAGAACGGAAAACAACGCTTCGGTAGACGGTGGTCTGGCACATGCCCCAACCCCACGTCAACCTGCAAGGTTGGTATGCTGTTCTAAAGAATTGGATTTAGTTCCAGGTGCTCACTTACGCACCACTTCATTACGGACTCTCTGAAGCCAGCTTAATGTTGCTATGGTACAGAAAGACCGGTGATCCAACTTTTGATCGGAGGACCAAGTCCCACAACCGCCCTCACAGTTGTCTCTTATACACGAAATTTTAGCTTCAGCGAGGTTCGGCTCTGACGCTATAAATTGCACTTTCGCGAACGCTGCTCGCATCTTGGTCATCCGTTCATTAATTTGATCTCAATAAGTACAGTCACGGTTTATGCTGCTACCATACGGCAGTGAAGCATTGGTGTTGAACACTGATGTCATGCTTTCGTTGATGATGATGATGATATGCTGCTACCAAGGTACGTGCGTCGATAAAATCCCCATTTTCTCTATTCTGAAGTTTCCGAGAAGCACAAGGGGAGGGGAAATCTTGAAGTAAGACTTCACTTTGAAAGTGCAAAACGCACACATGGGATCGCTTCCGATATTTTGGTTAAAGTACTATGAGCGGACAAGTACTCGTCAAACAACATAACCATGTCATCCACATAATCCCAATTCATTACCCTTTCTTCAGACATGATTTCGGTACTGAAATTTATCGTCTGGAGTTTGCTCCGCATAATGACGTCAGTGACAAAACTGAACGAAGAAAGAGATGGATACAACCCTGACGAACTAGTTGTTTGGGCACTTCTGGTTAGTTCATTTTGCACTCTAACCTGACCGTGGGTATGAGAATATATGGCACGAAGAGTGCTTTTAATTTCCAAGGGAAAGATGATAGGAAAGATGATCTATCAACAGAGTCGAAGGCCCCCTTTAAGTCGAGGAAGTCCGCAATTTTCGACGTGAGACTTACACTCCTGTGATGGGAGCAGTCGGTTCGGGTACCTTTTCCGAATACGGGTGCGACCAGTGATTAGCTCCAACTCTGAAGCGCGTTCTGTTTCTCATATACTTATGAGTAACCTGGTCAAAGCGGAACACAGATTTTCATCCAGATGTGAACAACGTTTGGGTGGCGAGGTGGCTCAGTGGTTAGAGCACGAACTTACTGACAGGAAGGTCCATGGTTCAAACCGACCTATGCGCCTCGACTTCTGTCTTGGCTTGGGCAACCTGGCAGTATCGCAGTCCTCGTGTGACCTTCGGGTAACATGGCAGTTTGGCATTGGCCACTGATGTGTCCTGATTAGGCAAGGCGGCCGATTTTCGCCGATGTCTTTCGATAGCACAATTGATTGGGTAATCTAACCTACCCTCAACGAATTCCTCGAACTACCAATTAATCCCACCGCATGGGTCATGGATCTTGACTATATTTTTGATTTCTTCATTGGTCAAATGTGCAGATTATTCTTGATAATGTAGGCCTTTCTGCTTCCTGGTTGGACTAGAGATACATCTTGCGAAAACTAATTTCATTACAAGCATTTATGTCCAGTCTAGTTCATGTCTGACTGAAAGTCCATAACTGAAGTCTGTTCTAATTATTTGGGCTCCATCTTTATCCTTAATTGTCAAGCATGATAAGTGATAGGTGTCCGTATCGGCAAATCCGCTTCATGAAAGCGCACAGAAATCGGCCTTCGGACGAAGCCCTGACTGTCCAATTCATACAAACATATGTCTGTGACACCTCGACTCTCCGGACTAACAGCCTTCAAACAATCGGAGTATTTAGTTACTGGTGATTAAAGAGTGCTCCGTGGTTAGAATGCGAATTTACTGACCGGAAGGTCCGTGGTTCTAACCCGAACTCTGCCTCTCGACTCCCCCTGTCCAGGATTGAGAAAATTGGCAGTATCCCAGCCCCCATGGTGGCATGGCAAATAGGAACCGAAGGAGTGTTACAGCTGAGCGATTATCAACAGGTAGATGAACGCCATATGCCAGTAATCTGGTGGGACTCAAGCGGTTCTTGTACTCTCTTGCATCCGAAGTTAAACACGCTCATCATGTAATCACAACGCGTCTCACTTTTGGTTATTATCCCAAAAGGATCCTTTTTATTGCCTCTGGTTCGCGCTGTTCAGTCACCCTACTAGCCACCATAGACCATGGAGAAGACAGTAGGATTACTCATCGTGTTAGCAGAAGATGGGTAGTGTGCACAGTACAGGACATAGATCGAATATTGCTGATTTCATGAGGGATTTTCTCCGTGTTTATCAACCAACTAACCATTCGCTTTCTCCCCTTTCCGCCTTCAAAAGCTTATGTTAGTCAAGTTCCGTTCCCATGCAGTTCGCCTTGCGTGGTGCAGGTATATAGTACGCACGAACTCAACAGGCGCCCTTCGAACGCCGTTCTACGATTTCCATATCTCACACGGGGCGAAAATTGTTGATTTTTGTGGATTTTCTCTACCCATACAGTATGCGCAACAGAACATCCTTGATAGTCATAATTACGTTCGGAAGAATTGCGGCATATTTGATGTATCCCATATGCTACAGGTAATTTATAGCCATGCAACATTTTTGATCAAATCGCCTTTCTTACTATGCATTCCGAATTTTCTTTCAACGTCATTTTAACACGCAGATGATTCGGGTTCAGATCGTCGCCCTTTTTACACCATTCGCGTTTCTAGGGTATAGGGCCGTGTCTTTATAAGAAACCCCAATCTAGTTAACACCTCGAAGAGAGCTTACCTAATTCTTATTTGTATGTTGAGAGTACAGCATCCTGTATGCATAAAAAACCCTTTTTAATTAATTTGAGTGGAATGTTTTTTGCTATTCATTTTTGGCATCGAGACAGCTCACTGGTTAAACCCTGGCAACTAGGCACGGGAAAGACATTACAGCTGAACGACTGTTATTACTACCACTCCACGAGTGATTGATTCTAACTGTATTTTGATCGCGAGGTACAGCCATATAGACCGTCTCGCCATGCCCACGGAGTGGAGCATCATCATCATCGACAGCATGAAGTCAGTGTTCAACACCGATGCTTCACTGCCGTACAACCGTGATTTATTTGAAAGCCTTATTGTAAAGAAAAGAGTAAGGGTTGACGGGGAAGGGAGCCAGGAATAAACAAATAGTCATTCTTTTTAATGTCCTACTCATAAGGCTGCTGAAAATCCGTCGACAGCCCACGACCGGTTTCGTCCTTTTTGGGGCTCATCAGGTAGGCGCAGTCCCCGGGTTTCCGTCAACCTTATGTTCTACTTGAAACCAAATTGCACGAAATTAGCGAATATACACTCATTTGCAAACTAATTTGTTTTTTTTTTCGAGAGACTCACCTGGAACCCAGTTGAATCTCTCGTTTATGATGTTCTCAGGCAGGTGAGTCTCTCGAAAAAACCAAATTAGTTTGCAAATGAGTGTATGTTCGCTAAAATAGTCATTCTGTTTTTACCCAGCTCACATCATTCGTTTGGGTTTTCGAATGTTAGTAGTGTGAGTCTCCTGATGGGCTCTCTATGGAACCCTTAGGTTTTTACAGGAAAGATCAAGGTTGTGCATTGTTGCAAAGTAGGTCAGAGCTATCGAAAGAGTTTGAGTATACTCATTGGTGACTGTTGTTGGACAGGACGCATAGCTCGAACCAAACAACGTATTAAGTTAAAATGAAGTGACGACTTACTTCCTTAGATAGTCACCACGGGAACCCTCTCCCTGGAATGAGAGGACATGATCAAACAATGATTTGTGCAACCGGAACAAATCTTGTACAGTCTCAAACGTTACTTTTTCAGGAATAATAAACATTCACTGGTGCATAAATGTAAGGGGCCGAAACAGTTTTCTTGCTCCTTGTTTTTAGAAAGTTGACTGTTGTACATGGGTAACTGGTGCTAGTCTTTGCCCGAGGTATACCGCTGTTCTCCATTGTTCTTCCAAGGTGAGGATTCATGGTGCAGATCGGCTCTATTTCATGGAGTCTCTGACCTCTTCTGATTTACTCAACCTACCTCCTGGAACTGGAACGCTCTCCGTCTACCTGAAAGACGACGGAGGGATACTGGATGATCTGATTATAAATAAGTGCACTGAACCGTACCTTTACGTCGTCTCAAATGCTGCTTGTGCAGAAAAGATAACCAGTCATCTAAGGGTAAGTGGAATAAATAATCATGGTTTTGCTTTAGATGAAGCAGATTGAATTTTCACAAAGTGGGAAAGATGCGACGGTGGAGTTTCTGGGTCGATATGCATTGTTGGCCGTGCAAGGTGAGTGTTGTTGAAGCGAAGTCAAGACAGATTACCCCAAAGACACTCAGGTTACACTTTAAAACTAACACATGATCAAGAACGAATTTTCAACCTAGTGTCTGATTGTTCAAGTTCCCACAATTTATGAGGGGAGTCAACATCGTTCATATTTATTGGCCAGAAGAGTCCTTGTCTGATTGCATGCCAGTTGTGCGTATCGTCTGTGCAGAAGTCGCACAAACGGGAAATTGGTCGTCGACCGTTTATCGTGTCTCTTTACCTTCCAACCAAGTGTACCGCTGACAACGTCGGGAACAACCTTTGTGACACCTTGAGTGCCCCGTTATAGCGAACTAAAAACGCAGACATCACTTTGGTTGCGAGGGGTCCGAATGCACAGGTGGATAAAAGTAACGCCTCCAAGACTGAGTGGAATGGTCAACTTTGATTGGACTTTGTATTTACGGATAACGGTGGACGATTTCTTCAGCCGTTTGTTGACCACATTTATATACTTCTGGCTGCAGGACGCCCGCAGCCACAGGACCAAACTGACGATATCAGCGTCAGTTACCGATGGCTTGGATAAGTAATCGACTGTCGCTTCTCTCTACTTTTCAGGGCCATGCAAAAAGCGGAAGACTAGCTTAGCAACTGAGAGACTCGTTGCTTCCAAAGCTGCATGCTTTTATCCGAACCACCTGGACTCCTCCAGCTTTTTCACCGTCTGGTGCAAATTCGTACTGGAGCAAGATCCCCATGTCTTGCACAGTGTTGAGGGTTTCGCTTGCCGCACGGCAGCACACCAACTTAACTCAAGAACTGAGTGCCGGGTAGTGGGACTGCTTGGTTCCCTTCCGCATCCCGTTCCTTGTTATCTTTCGCGTACGTGGTGACTTGTCGAGTTGCGAATGGCGGTGATTCCTCCTGTCGACGCAGCGTGTGTTTCTTACTCCAACAAGGAATTGCGGATTGTAGTTGAAAACCTTACACTACATGTGGACAGTGAATTCAGGGTTCAGTAATAAGACTAGTCATGAAAATTTTCGTTAAAAGACATCCAACCCTGCTAATGAGACAAGCACGGGTGTTTTTTGACTGTCGATGACGTGTTATTCAGATTAAACAGATGTTCATCTAGCCAGTTATTTGGGAAACGATAATATTTTCTTCAACAACGGATGATTCAGTACGTTTCGAGTTCGCCGGCTTCTCTCATGTGTGAGGTTATATCAGACAACAATGCACCAGTGCTTCCAAGTACTCAGCCGATTGACAGTAAATACTTTGAAGAGCCGAAGATAGGGCACCCCATGAGTCTAGCATTTCAGAGAAGTGGCCAGTCTCTTCATTGGGATCCTCTTGAAAGCGGTAACGGTCAGTGTTTTTGGACTGTCTGCCTAGTAAGGAGCGTTCGCCTAGACACATGTCACCCACAACCTATTTTTTCATGTCAACTCACCATGAAGCCGTTAAACAAGCCGTTTCAGATTTTGAAGATTCATAAATGCCTTCTGTGAAGTCACATATAAGGCTCCGTGTTGCCGAAAATATGCTGCTTCTTGCTTGATAGATAAAGGGTTCACAGAAGTCACGTGGTCACGCGTTGCCAAGTTTTTACCAACACCTCCATAGTGATTAATAAATTTTGTAGCGTCCAGGGGGTCCTAGAAAAGGCTGTTTCTTTTTGCCGAAGTTGTCTTCGTGAAACTACTCATGCTTTTTGTATTTACTCACTTTTTCAGGTCCCGAATCGTACAACATTCTGAGGCAAAACACTGACACCGAAGGTCAGCGGATTCTGGACAATCTCTACTTTATGGAATCGTCCATCATCCCTTCTTTGTTTGGTTTGAATGATTCTTCAGATCCCATCCGAATTACCCGGTGCGGTTATACTGGTGAGGATGGCTACGAGATTAGTGTCCCTGACAAACTCGCTTTGGAACTTGCCAATCGTATGATGGAAACCAGGCGTGTGAAACCTATCGGGTTGGCTGCGAGAGATACATTACGACTTGAAGCTGGCATGTGTCTGTATGGAAACGATCTATCCGAGAGTGTCACGCCGGTGGAGGCTTCACTCAGCTGGCTGGTGGGTGCGTTTTAACTTTTTTTTCGGATTGCAGCGTTAACTGTTTGTCGACCACCGTGGAATTTTCAGCTTGGAAAGACAAAACCTAAGTGGTCTGGTGACATGTTAATCTGTGAGAATCCGCATGTCAGATTCATTGTCTAAAGCGGAGTGTGCATTTTGGCGGGACAGTTCCTCTTGCTTAGCAATTGTTGAACTTACGCCAGCCTCTCTGTCTATACTTTCGGGTGATTGTGCAGTTGCTACATCGGTTTTGCCGGTGCTGGTGTAGTCCTAGGTTCACGAACGAAGGGTTCATTGCCCGAGTGCATAGCTGTAAACAGCCGACTCTGTGCTGTCTGATTTTCCACTTTCCTACAGCATATACTGAACGCCTTTTGTTTATAATGTTCATCTATGCATCAACGAACTGCAGCTCCGAATCATTGGAGCTTGATAAGCCACATGTTCGAGGACCATACCAGAGCCGACTATGAATCGCACCACAAGCGGCCTCCCCTGAGGACATTGATTTTAACTAGAGTGCGGTAACTGCGGTTATACGGGGCGCCGGAACCTCGGTTGTTTTGTTTTCGAGTGCGTGTACGGAAGCCATTGGATCTCAGAACGGTCACTACTTAATGCTAGACGCTTTATCCCCTCGGGCACAGAGTTGTGATCGATCTGGGGAACAGAAGAATCCAGTGCGGAATGCACGGAATTTGTTCTAGATAACCCACAAAGCATTCTCTGATAGGCTTTCCATAAGTTAGTCGAACGTAATGTTGGGAACTTAGTACATTATAATGACCAGCATTTTGATCACCAACAACCGTTTATTTGCAGTTTGCAGCTGTATCTGTGTCCACTCTCAGTTTGAGCATTTGATGAAGTATTAGTATTCCTTTCTGCCGTGAAATGCCACCTGACTGCTGGAACCAAGTGTTGTTGTCCTGCCTAAATTGTTCGTGCGTATTTGTGAATAAAAATACTGTTTTACTCAGATAATGTTGCTTCTTGCGCGGAATATCAGCCCGGTTTTTTTACCCTCATTGACTCGGTCCTCGAACTAATGGCACGCACTAAACCCATGTATCCGTTTTTGGACTCTTGCCTTACCGTTATCTGTGCGGAATCACATGTTTTTAATTGAAATAACAGAATGAACGCTGGTGGTATTTTGAAATTGAATACATTGTTCCATCTTCTCTCAGGTGTAACATTGCTCCCGTCGTTGATATACATGTCAGTTACTTTCAGAGTTTCGGTTATCACGACTCCCTATCTTGATTTTCACCACTGGATTGATGTGCACAAAAGTTTATATGCTCCTCCTCGCTAAATGCATTTCACTAAGTGAATTTTTTCCGACGTCAGGGAAGCGAAGACGCCAAGCATCTTCTGACCCCCCTATTCGCGGTGGCAAAAAAATATTGGCCCAGTTGAAAGACAAGGCGCAAGTCTCCGAAAGGCGGATTGGGATTGCTGGCGGAACAGGACCCCAAGCTAGAAGTGAGTGTTATGTGCCTTCTTAGTCATTTTTTCTCTGGAGGAGTGGTTCACGAATTTTATCTCCCGGAAGGTGCCAAGATTGCAGATACTACAAATGCCGTGGAATTTTACTTCTGAGGACTTCTGAAAACTTCTGACTTCCTTAGCAGTGCAGTTTTTCTCATCGTTCGCGTTCCATTCGATCATGTTCCTGGGAGGATGAGACAATAATACCACTGACTTAAACCTTCAGAGAATCAAGTATGCAGAACTTCGGTTTGGCTGGAAAATCGCTTACACAATATCCTAAAATGAATGAAGTGTTCGAAATTTACGCCAAGTGACCCACTGTGACCTACATGCATGGCCCACATATGAACCATACCTTGTTTCACCTGAACCATAGTCTCGACTCATCATCATCATCATGATAGTCAGTATGACATCAGTGTTCAACACTGATGCTTCCTTGCCGTACAGCCATGATTTATTTGAAAGCTTTATGGTGAAGAATAAAGGTGGACAGGGAAGGGACTTAGTGTTATCTTACTACAATCATTCCGAGGTGCCTACAACTCCGTACGCTCACTCAGTCAATGTGGATAGAAACTGACAACACGAACGCCATGGACAGTACAAATCACCTGTCGCGGAAAAGAGTGTGTTATTGTGATTTCATAGTTTTTTTCTTGACTGTGGACTGATAGACTGGGTAGGCTTCTAATGCCTTCGTATCCAAGACAACGTGCTGGTCCCACCCATTGTACAGTTACTGTCTTCGATTACCGACAGAATGTAAACATTCGTACCAGAGACTCCCTTGTGTAAGCTGATCTCAAACACCCGTTGGTCTGGCTTGACAGAGTATGAATGTCCTTGGTTTCCGTTGGCAATGACTTGTTTCAGGATATCTGAATTCCCAATCATCTCATCGCTTTCCACGTGTTACATCATCATCACCAGCTGTAAGAACCTCCAACTTGCCGTGCGGTTGTTCTAGCCGCCACACTTTCGTTGAGGTAGGTAGGAATCGCAGACGGTAGCCGACACAATTGATGCGTAAATACAGAAGCACATACTACACATTTATTTGGCATACACAAAGACATCGATCCGTGGTCCATCTCCAAACACGTATGGGACAGAGTCAAGATACTATTGCTGCTTCAACCATAGTTTATACTTCACTTGTGTGCATTTACTTGGCTTTAACCCTCAAGGTTTCTGGCGCCTAATTTACAACAGACCCTAGAGAGGCACATTGTAGATGTCACTGAGGTATCTAGAACCAAGGAGTTCCCGCTCTGAATTCGCTATTGTAGGACGCTTTTCATTACCGGATGTTTTGACCAATTTCAACAGAACTGTTTACGTACTATGATCCATTGTTTCGTACGTTCCTGTGATACGTGTAACGGTTATTCAGGTGTTTTCACTTTCGATCAATAGCTGTCTAGCGTCTAGTATCAGTCACATATACTCCGATTTTCTTCATCGGTTATACAATTCGTCAGACTCCAACTTATCCGTTCGACCAATCAAATAGTACTCGCGCGATGTAACGAAAATTCATATTAAAAACCGGTTTGTTTCGCAGCATTTGGAATTGGAAACCACCTCTCAGACAAACTACCATCTGTGCTCGACTAAGTGAAGCAAGTGGGATTACCTTATTGCAGAGCCAACCGTGTAGCTGTGTTTGGTCATTGGTTCTAACAAAGTTTTTTTTACGGCAAACAGATTTCGAACAGTCTGATAAAACACGAGGGTTTTCTTCACAGCCCGGAATTTCAGGGAGAAAAACAAAATTGTTTGGCGTATCAGAGAAAATCGTTAAGAAGGCCACTTTTACACTTGTTTTTTTCTGCTGTTAATCCAGTTAGGTATGATGAGTTCCACTTGTCATTTCCACGGGTTACACTATGTTTTGCACATCGATTGACGTTTTTATACCCAACTCGAGAATGCATCACATTAAGTCCGTTTCAGCAAGGGATGCCTGTTGACATGGCGTACGGATGTTAAAGGCTGCTACTTAGATCAGGTCTTTTGAGGTTAGTAGGTGATTGTTTTGGTTTATTTTTCTGGGCGATGGTTGAGAAACGGAACAATGGCTAGGGGGCTGGCAGATTGTTTGCTTGCACTCCATTGTACGATGTGTTGGGAGGAAACGAGGGGGAAGCCTGGTGAGCGAAGAGCTGCACAGTCAAATGATACTTCCCGGTTGCCCAGGTCGAAGAACGGGGTTTAGTTAAGGTACTCAATCTTGATCCTTACTCAAAAGTCTGAGCCACGAGGCAGTGGAGGATGTAGGGTTTTGTTCGGGGACCCTGCCTCTAGCGTCTGACTCAAAAGTCTGGACCGTGAGACAGCGGTTGTTAGGGTTTTCTTGGGGAACCCTTCCTGGAGCAAATGACTCAAGTCTGACCTACTTGGCTGTAGGGGACCGGCCCGGCCTGGTGGCGCAGGGAGCAAGGGCATTACTGCCTCACTCCTGGTGCGGCTGCCCACAGCAGATACCTTTTGAGCAGCACCGGGCTCTTTGGTGTTGAAAACATTTTGACCGTATTGAATAATGTGCCGACGGTCACGGCCAACCGTTGGACGATGGGAGTGTGCGTTTTTCGGGGTCGATTTTTTAACCCGTTCCTTCTCGGGGAAGACAACATCGCTGCTTCTATAAATATAGACATGCTGATTTCCTGGAGGAAACACCTTACCGCCTTCACATGACGATTTTACCTCCAGACCACCTCGTAATACGACTACTCGTAGTACAAAGACTCGCTATTCTTCGTCGGGCTGCTCCCCGTTGGCCTTGGCATGGTTGGACCTTTAGGAACTGAGTTGCATCCAGTATAGCCCGCAGCACAGAAGCCCGACTACCGCAACTAGGTGACATCTTAATGTCGTTGATTTTCATATGTGGAAGTAATATATGGTGTGTCATATCTTTTGATAGTTGCGCTGTGTTCCTTTACCTTCCTTCCAGTCTGTCCGGTCCTGAGATCAACTTCCTCAATATAGCGCCTTGTTTGTGGGCTACTAAGATTCCTTTTTGTTATAGTAGCCTTGCTGGGAATCTAAATATGTTCTTGATGTACGGAAGTACCAGTCGTTTTATTGGTTGATCTCGATGTTCCTGTTTTTGTCTTCAAACTTCTGAATAGCAAACAAATTGTCCAGCTCAGCAAACAAGCCTACAGTCATCATTACACCATGAGAAATCAACTTCCTATTCAGTCGTAGGTACATGTATTGGTTACAGGAACTTCCGATTTTCAGAACCATTCACTGAGTTCTGGGAGATTGTCGCGTCCAGGATAACAGAAATGGTGTTCTGTTGACACGAACCAATTTCTATCAACGGAACAGCACCAGTAGGACACACTAGATTTTTTCGGTCAACTTCGTTGATCCCAGGACCGAGGACGAGATTGTTCATAGTCGCTCACGTGAGCGTGATTACTGGAAATGACATCCATTGTATTAGAGTTGTCCTCAGGGAAAGTTTTCACAGCTGTCAATTGTTGCGCCCCTAACGAACACCAGTATTTTGTACTGGTTTATTGCTTCCTTTTGTGATTCTAGCATTAGGATGGAAGCACACACCACAGATTCATGTGAAGTCATATACTCGGTTGTAAATTAGAATGGTGCCAAGGTTGGGCTGCACTCACTCGACAAGCTCCAAATCCATAGAGAGATGTCGAGAATGTTTTCACCAACCCTGTAAATAACGCCGTGAAAAACTCATTGTTGCACAGCATGTTTATTAACCGCAACACCAGTCATGAGACTTGGAGCCCAACTTTACGAAGGCGAAAACCAGCCAGTGTGATAGCGTGAGGTTTTGTGGGAATCAGGTCGTGCTATCTTTTTATCTGTCTTCAGACTTCCTGGCGCATGAACAAGCTGGATAGTTAATAAGTAGGCCCCTGTTAAACTTTGAACTTCGGTCCAGCTGAACCCTGCAACAGTCTTTTTACTGCACCTTCACTTGGATAACAGCATAGAGTGATGCCATCCCGGTTTACAAATGGGTGCCCATTTCCACATATGCATCTCTTAACCAGCTTAGGGGCTAGCTGGGATCCACATTACACTACTACTTCAGTTCAAGTAGTGTAGCATCGTTCCGATTTCAGGTGAACGCATACAGTCCTTTCCAGGTCGCAAAAATTGACCTTACTTGTTTACCAAAGGACACGTTGTTGATGTAATCGTGTGGCTTTTCTTGAAAAACCTGGTCGGAATGACGACGGTAATTGCCATGGTCGTAATACCGTTCTGGTCATGGGTGTATGAGGTCTAAAAAACGTAAACGTATTTGCAAATCCTCATAATATCTGGACGGTTGGGCTTTATGTTTTAAACTATGGTGTCCAACACCAGTGGTCTGCTTGGCCACAAGTTTAGTGACACTTTCGATGACTGATGTTACTTCTCAATAAGTAGTCTGTGTCCTTACATATGTGTATTGTGTGTGATACCACTGTACATACAGGAATGTTTTCCCATTTTCTCCACAGCCGGCGCGAAAATCTTCAGTGACAAGATAGACGGGCCGGTTGGTCAGGTGACTAGTGGATGTCTATCACCAACGCTGGGTCGCAATATTGCGATGGCTTATGTCAAATCAGAATTCACCAACCCGGGCGAGAAGTTGCATGTGGAAATTCGCCAGAAGTTGTACCCATTTACAGTGACAAGTCTCCCTTTTGTGCCCAATCGCTATGTAAGACGTCCGAAGAATAACTGATGCAAGTGCTTTGTAGGAATTCAAAGTCTTTCCAATTTGATGCAACTTTTTTGTCATAAGGCCTATTTGTGCCCAGATTTTTTCGATTCTTGAGAGCTGATTCATTTTTTCAGACAAGTTGATTATTTTCTATCCTTATTTTGATTCGTGTGATTTTTGGATAAATTTCAACAACAAAGTGGCTTCCTTTTTCTGTTGGCCCTTCAATACCTAGTGCGGCGACATTATAGGCATCCAAAAAGAAAGTCCCTGTGGAAACGGAACCTCTGCATCTCTTCAGGGAGCTTCCCTTTGGAGATACTCACTTTTATAGACTGTCTTGTTTTACCGTACTCCGTTAACCGTGGAGTTCATAAGTGTATTCCAGTCATGTATGCTGGTCCAAACACGTCTGAAATGTCTGTCGCTTATAACGCAGGGAAACTCTACAGTGAGTCGCTTCTCAACCTCGCTCCCTTCTTGAATTGATAGACAGGTGCCTGGACTGACAAGATGTGCATGTATTCCGCAGTTGTCCGAGTGTTGCTTTCGGTCGGTATTCTACGGGACAAGTCGACGGCCCTAAATATAGTGTTTCTTCGCGCTGATGTATCCGAATTTCAATATTCGATCCACTCAAGAAAGCTTTGTTCTCTTTTCGAAGCGATTGTTGCCCAGAGATTCCCGGAGGACAGTCCATAACGTGGCAACGTGAAATAAAAGCGATTAGGATTAAGCTAAATCTTTGGCGTGGTTGAAACACGAAAGACAAGTCAGTGCCGTTCAGCCAGTCCGTGGTATTCATCCACGTCGCAGTTGCTGATTCTTTTCCTTAGGAGGGTTAGAACTTGCTACTTCTCGGAAGACAGTCTAAAAATCTACCTTCGGATGTAGCTACCTAAGTGTATCTTCTCAGTAAAAAAAAGTTACGGTTGGAAAAGTGGTTGAGAATGGACCATAGTCAGTTCAACACTAAAGCATCCCAAAAATCGACCACCTTCCAAAAACCACTGCTGTCAGATTCATGTCTTTGGTTTTGCGCTGTGGTGAATTAGTTTAACCTTCCAGGTTGCCTATAGCCTGTGAGCACTGGCTATGAAAAGCCAAGTGTAGAATATATACCTGAAGTTGATTCCTTGAATTCAAGGCCATTTATCAGTTACCGAAGATTATTTTCAGTCCACATGACAAGGTAAAACTGACGGAGGTCCTTTGTGTCCAGATTACCAACGCAAAAGGCTGTTTAAACATAACGGTCTATGTTTAAAAAATCATATTCACATCGGAAGGGATGCGAAATGCACGAAAATGCGCACGAAACAGAAATAATTTAAAACTAGAAATTACAAGAAAGTTGATCAAGGTGTACGGGAAGAAATTAATAAATGAATAGGAACTAGCGGCAAGTACATGTGCGAACGATATGTCAAAAGTCCTCTAACCAGGGTGTGGTGATTTTGGTGTCTGTTAGGTGCTCAGCGATGTACATATTTATTAAGATGTATTCACAGAGTTCACATTTCCCCTCCGCGGGATTCCAAAATACCGAAATATAACTAACAGCAGTTGAAGATATAAGTAGTGATAAAAGATGAACAGGTCTCCTTCATACCCTCAAAGTTGATCGAAACCGAAACCGTTAGAAATGCAGAGGGCACTTTTTGTGGAACTCAGTATGGAAAGCGGTGCGAATAACTATGGTTTGCGTCGAAGAGAAAAGAAGGCTTTCAGCGAGCGCCTACGTCCAGAGATGCTGGGTGATCCGGGACCTAAACTGCCTGTTTGGTAATCAGGATCAGGCAAAATGGTAGTCGGTTGGGAAGCGTGGCGTACTGTTTGGGCCATGGTCATCTTCTCCGCTGCATCGTTGATGGCATCTGTCCAACGTTGGAGTACACGGTCGTTTGCTGTTTGAATCAAGTACTCTCGTCCATCGGACAGTCTCAGGCGAAACACACATGGTCTTTTTGTATAATCAATAGCCGGCTGAGCAGTTGCTGATACCAAGTTGATCGGGGGTTCGTTGCGCAATGTTTCGTCGGGTTTTTGCCTCCGGCTCCGATAGTCTTTGTAGACAAACAGCTGACCACGATCAAGCACCATGTACAGAGGTACCCAACTTCGGCCCGCACTTTTTGTCCGTGGCACACCACCAACATCTACTTCGTGTTTCCGCACCACGGGTCCCTCTAAGCGTGGTATGCTACCAATAAGCTGCTCACCTGAGATTTGCGCCCGACTGATTGAAGAATGAGACACCGAACCAGGCTCCTGACTGCCCATTAAGGATCCTACCGTGAATCTAGAGCGACTACTACTCGAGCTGACGGAGTCACCTCTTCCTTGCTGACTTAAGGGAGATGCTTGTTGAACTGCAGAATGCCCTTTGCTGGGGATGACGCCCATTCGATTTGTTCTTTCAGAGCTTGATCTGGAAAATGATCGAATGTTGTGGAGAAAAATTGAACTATCTGACGAAAGGAGACGAGACTAGAAAGTTGTCCATTCGGGAAAGCCTAACTATGAGGGAACCAGGGTTGAGGATTTCACTAGCAAATGTATAACACGTGTGTTAGAAGTAATATAGACGCATGGATTGTAAACACCTAATTTATGCAATAACCCACCCGGAGTCCCGAACTCTCGACCTCCTGGCTAGTAGTTTGAACACTCAACCATTCGTCCAGATTCAGTGGCATTCTGAGAAGAACCCATTGCTAGTTTTCTATGCTATAGATCCGATTCCTGTCGGACCGAATGGTCCAAGTTTATTCTGAACAATCTTTGGACCGTGACACATGCAGCATGTGAACAGTACAACAACAGACTTATGAAGCTACGTTGGTTCAACACGAATCAATTCTTTTACACTATCACAATTCCGTATTAGCCAGAAAGGTAAGTAACCATGGTCATGGCCTGATGTCCCATGGCGAACATTTTGGCGCATGGACTACTAGTAAGCCGAAGCACAGTTTAAACAGTTGTCCACTACTTGTCGCAGAAAGTAGTTAGATAAGTATCTGAGGTATGGTCCAGCGCGCATAAATTACGCAACAGGGTATCTTAACGCAAGTTAAGTAGGATGACGGCGAAGAAGGCCTTAGGCATAACTGACCTGGAGAGTTGAGAACCACGTGAGCCAGCTGAGGAACTTGGCGTTGATCTGGGGGTGAACTCTCTTGATCGTCCTGAACCAACAATGTCAGTGTCCGCTGGAATTGTTTTGGGACTGGGTTCTTCTTGTAACGGACTCTTACTTGAACGACGGGTTTGCGGAGGTTGTGTTTCCCCTTCAGGTGGTGTACGTTGGTACGGTAATAATCGGACGTTATTGTCAGAAACTTCGCGAGTCGTTGGTTCAGGTACGCTCGTTCTCCGAGGATCACGCGAGGAACTTTCGATTGGGATGATGGATTCAGACGCCAGGCGATGAGTGACCTCTTTTGTCACCGACACTGGAGGTGCGGCTGGTTTCGGCTTCAGGACCATTTTGGCCGACGATACTTGGCGCTTATCAGACGGAACTTTCGCTTTTTCGGTATATGGAACACTGGTCTGCTCTTGTGAAACCGGCGGAATCGTGGAGACCTGCTGGGGAGCTGGGGTGGAGGATAACTGCGTCATCAAATCCGCGGTAACCCTGGTGGTTGTGGGTTGGGGCTGCGGTGATGGCTGGATACGCGGAGGTACGACCGATGGTCTAGGCGGCTTAGGACTACAAGATTCTGACGCCTTGGGATGGGATCTGATATATTGTGGCAGAAATTCCTTGACAACGTCGCGAATTTTATCCCTTTTCTCTTGTTCCCGCACGGATACCTCTTCCGGTTTCCACTCCATAGCACGTATCTCAAGCTTAAATGGAATGCAAGTACGTTGAAAATTGAAAAATTCGCACTTAACAGATGTATAGAAAGTCCATAAGTTAGTACTGAAAGAAACCAATGGCACGTACACATGAAGGCGCATATGACTGTTGGTAATGTGTTGTAATATTGGTAGCTCGGGGGCATTAGTTGGTAATTGATCAGGTAGCTGTTGATCTGCTCGCTGAGCTTGGCAATTGATTTGCAAAGGTTTCGTCACCATTCGAGGAGACGTCTTCAGTGCGCTGTTGGTTGGGTAGTCCCTCTCTTCGTGCCCAACCAACAGCGCACTGAGGACGTCTCCTCGAATGGTGACGAAACCTTTACTAATCAGTTGCCAAGCTCGGCGAACAGATCAACAGCTACCTGATCAATTACCAGCATATGACTGTACCCATTGTCGTTGCCAGCCTGGATATGAGAGATAGCAGTTATGTCCACTATCCGTCGATACATAACACTGACACGAAACAAGCAGAAAGTTTGCTGGATATTCGTTGACGGGACCTGATGCTGAGCTCAATCGGTAGCGGGGTGTTAAAGCCTTCGTTGGCCCTATGAATAAAATTTCAACCTACATCCTGGTTTCACCACCAGGAAACATGACAAAATGCGAAATGATTCGCCACCGCTGGTGACTGCGATAACAGTCGTTGCTCGGCATCTGTATCTAGCTCATCGCGTTAAGCGATGTATAAAGTTAACGAGGAAACTGTGACGATACCGAAGTAGCATTTTCCCAGGCTTGATTTCTTATAAAGTACTTATAAGAGGAACTCTTTTTACAGAGGGACAACCTCATCCATCGGTCACTGCTGAGCACCTCTGGTGGACCACCCAGCTAGTGGAATAGTGGGTAGAACAGAGCGAAACAGGATAGAATAGCAGAATATAAGACTCGGCGACTGCATCTATCTGATGAACTCGAAGAAGGGCGAAACCAGTCGTGGGCTCTCGAAGAATTCATAGCAACCTTGAGCGTAGTGTTCCGTTACGAAATGAGATATCTCGAATGTCCCACCAAATAAAATAGGGTGCAGCCTTTGTACAATACATCCGGTTGAAGAATATCACAAACGAGATTCAGCTGGGATTCTGTTGAATCTCCAGTTTTCAAATGAACGCAAATTGCATACAATTTGGGTACAATTATTTATACTGTATCTGCTGGGTGATTCGAGGAAATTGCCCACAATCTTCAGAACAACTGAGACTGTCGTACGTTCGCCTATTCAGCATGTGATGCTCGGCTCTCAGGCTGATGTGACCCGTTCGTTTACATGTGTGATCCACCAGGCATAACAGGGACCGGGAGGGTGTCACACAGCTTAGAGGGTTTCTAGCACCCGGAAACGCACTTTGAAACCGAAGTTAATCGTACTCAGGATGGCCCATCAATTTAAATAGTATTTTTGAGGCCAGAATTGCATAAAGGGTTGCCGAAGTACAGAATCTCATGCACCAAATTAGGCTTTCTGCAACGTTTTGATTTATTTTCATGAGTCACTTTAATAATCTATGGTCAGGTCGGGCTTCATGCCGCAAACCTTCAGATAACCCACAGTATACACAGATTGGTTAGTGCTTATGTTCAGACATAAGTACACAGTCAAGCAGATTGTTTGCTGATGGACTTGTTTTTGGATAGAATTTAATTTTTTTTATTTCCGGTTACTTTCTGGTAGGAACCAAAACTCCCCATACTGCCAACGAACTGCTTTGATGTGCAGACGGAAACTGGGTGTACGTCGTTCAAGAACAGCTTAACCGAAACCGGAAGTCGAACTGAGCATATAGTATCTTCAACGATGTATCACATTGGAACACCAAATTCAGAAATTGAGCCAGTCAGCCTTCAATGTTCTAGGGCCAAACCTTACGGAGGTTAACCAGAGGAAAAAGGGAAATAATAAAACCTGGTGGGTGGGTGTTTAAACGAAGACTAACGAAAAGACGAAGTGGACCGAGATCTCTAAATATGTCCACCATCAATAGAATCATCTGTTCGGATGCCTGATTTCACTTGCAGCATATGGTATTCGATAAACTGGCCTGAATAATGCGAAATGAGAAACACCAAGCTGTTTTCTTCGAATAGTCTGTTGATTCATTGTCCGTTACTGGCACACAATATGGTAGGCTTTTTCCTACCTCGAGGTGATCTGACTCCACTGAGATGCAGCCCACTGTGAGCGTGAAAACCGCTGGTAATACTCCTGTATGTTATCCCGAATCACAAGTACTCTCCGGAGTTGGAAGTAACTGACAGTTGATATAAGACAAGTGTTTTTTCTGCTTGAGTTGCACTACCCAGATTTCGCCCAAAAGAATTGTTCGGAAGACAAGATCGGTCACATGCATTAACGAACGACCGAATGTAACAAGCATGCGGTCCACTGTGGTTACCAACACTAATGAACCGGTCGGCCATTTGTGAGTATGACACAACCTCTATCATTGCACTGCGGCTAAGGTTGTTAGCCGGATCGTCGGGTCACCAGCAATTTCCTGGCCGATACGAGGACTGTTCACATAAACATCTGTTCACAAAATGATACTGGACTTACAAGGCCCCAATAGAAAGGCAAGTGCGATTCGTCGTTAGCTGCCGTTGCAAGAGTTCACAGGAAGTGAAGCAGCTGTGGAGCGATTCTATAAATCTAGGTCAAAGGAAGGACGTTTTAATAGTCTCAGTTGTCAGAGACAGTTAAGTCAACCCCATATGTCGAGAGGGTCGGTCTCATCCGGGGCGATCATGTACACCGCCAAAGCTGTATAAAACCACCGCACTCTTGAATATTATGGCTCCCTACCAAATTCTTGCAGAAGTTAATGGAACCTTTGAATTTAGTGGACAAGCAATCAGATCGAGGAGGAAGCTCCATCTCATAATCGGAACAGCCAAGGCACCGAATCGTTGCAGAGCAGCCGTGCATAGACATAAAAAACATGAAGCGTTCGCAGTAAATAAACCAGCCACGATTCTGTTCAAGTCAGACAAATTTGGATCACCCCATTGATAAGACTGGCCTTGTCATTCATTCAGTAACGGTGTGGAATATGCGGTTGGCAACAACCTCTTCTTTTGCCATGATTCTCTGGAGATTTTCGGTATTCTCAAAAAACCCGTGGTCGTGTCACGCAGGCAGAGCATATAGATGCGTTATGTTGGAATAATGTATCTGCAGCCTGCACCTCGGTGTATGCAAAGCAGAGGAAAGTTGTCGAGGTTGATCACATCTGTTTCCTTATGTTGTTTCCCACCCGATATAACTGACAGTTTGTTTCCGACAGAAAACGCTGCGGCACAGATGGGGTGCGGTGTTATTTTCTCGTAGCAGACCTTCTCACGAGAAAAATCCGCCTATTTTATCAAATGATTCACGCGAGACGCTACTCTATCCACACCATTAAGCCAACGATCTGGCCCAGGTTAGCCCAAGGTACATTCATATATTCTGGGTTTTCAAGTTTAGAATAGATCGAATCAGCTGTTGTANGTTGTAGGGAAAAATGCAAGCCTGATGACTCGTCCGTCCTGGACGCATGGAATATCTTATCCAATGAGTAAATCAGAAGTCGTAGTTCGGTTACATATTGGTACCGGCCACTAAAGTTTGAAGAATATCCTGAAGGACATAATGGGGAATTGAGTGGTATTGCTCCTACTTAGCCCGATTCGCCATTTCCCGTTCACTGAAACCCTTTTCTTCTGGGTGTGTGTACTTGTTCTTCTTCGCACATGGCTCTTCCGATGCACTAAAGCCCGTTTATGCGATAGCTCCCAACAGCCTAGTGAATTTCATCATGTTAGTGGTGTAATCGTACTTAGGAGATTCACTCGAGACCTGCAAGAACGATATCACAGTCGCATCCAAAGTGGAAGCCATCATCACAGGTATAGTTTTATAAATGAAGCTAGTTCCGTGGGACTATGTATAATCTGTTCAAAATGTGGAACTAATCATAGATCCAGTCCTTGAATCAACTTTTCGGTTTCTATTTAAAATTGTAAACTTTAACACTGAGAGATGAGAGGCAGTTTTGTATGTATTTAGCACGCCATGCTTAGCACTCACCATGCAAAGATCTTCACACATCCCTGGTCACGTCCTAAGCAGTATGAGCTTCATCGCTTGTGTTCATCACCGCCCGCAAGGAACTGACCAACGCTACTGTCTTTCTAAGCACATTTCAAGAAGCAAGGATGTACTTTTGTACACCAGAACTTCCGTCCATAAGGACTCAGTGAATCTCATTCCACTGAACCCAAAATGCTCCCTTTATCTTTTAGATGTGCCATTCGAGTATGCCATCTACATGAGTCGGTTTGGCTTGAATACTCTGTTTATCTAGGTGCGGCCAGGTCTCGAACTGGTAAATACTTTATTCATAGATACATTTGCACATTTTTGTGTGTCTGCGAATCATAAGGTTGCTGAAAACTCTTCGACAGCCCAAGACCGGTTTCGTCCTTCTCGGGGCTCATCAGGTAGCGCAGTCCCTGAGTTTTCATCAATCTTGTGTTTTAGTTGAATCCTAATCGCACAAAATTCGATAAACGCAGTTATTTGTATACCAACTTGGTTGTCATGAGAGACTCACCTGAATCCCATCTAAATTTCTCGTTTATGATCTCAACGAATGCGTTACACAAACGAAGAACTTTAGTTCTGCAACGGGCTGAAGAATAACGTGAGGACTTACCGTTGTTAACCTTTTGAGCGCATTGAACCGTTCGTTCGCTGTCACCAGCGTCTGCTCAAACGCATAATGAGCACCAAGTAGGGTTAAGGTTTCCGATAGCGTTTCCCCTAGCTGCCGTCTAGCTACTTCAAGCTGAAGTTCCTTTCCAGCCAGCCACGCCTCAGCGCTGGCTGCATCACGTGCGAATTGCCGTACTTCCAAGAGCAGGTGTAGTCGATCCCAGCGCTCCCTCCAGAGCTCTTGTACCAGCAGATGACCTGTAGCTAACTGGACACAACGTTCGCGAACTTCGCTCCGGGGCCCTGTGAGAGGATGTGAGGTATCCATACTCGGTGGGTCCAATTGCAATAAACGACGTCCCAAGTCTAAACAAGACTCGATACTTTTGGAACGCGCTTCCAATTCGTTATGGAGAATCGAATGGTCATTGATCAGGACCTCCACGCCACTCACATCCCTGCATAAAAGGAAGAGGTCGGATATTACAAAAGCCATTCGTGCGAAACGCGTCAAAACTATGGGACCAGGATGTCGAATCGAATGCCTCCTAATAGCAGCTTTAAAGCTCTTATAAATACTACTTAATTGGTAAAGAAAGAGATGCAGTTTGTGTGACCATTTTTTCACAGTGAATGCCATGTCCGACCGAGAACCTATATGGAGTAATTCTGAAAAAAAATTTACAGTGAAACTCTCTTCAACAGATCCGGTACAGTTTTGATGTGACATCAACCAAATTAGACGCACATTATAGGGTTAGGTTTTTCCTAAGTACAACCCTTCGACCCTGCTTACACGTCCAGTCCGCGACAGTTGCCGCACAAGATAAACAACATAGGGCCACTGACCTTGGACGTTCTTTCGCTTCCATCCGATCTCGAGCTGCTTCCAGCCACATAATCAACTCTTTTGCTGTTGTGAGAAACCTGTGGATTTGTCCTGCAGTATCTAGGAGACCTTTCCTCTCCGCGGCTAATGCGCACAGATGCTGCCAAGCTGCTTGCACCCGATCGTACCGGGCTTGGAGTTGTTCTGCCTGTGTGCTGGCGTAGCGCGGGAATAGGTGCCTCGCTTTGTTGGAAAGACGGCTGATTTGGTCACTAAAGCAAGCAATCTCTTGCTCCAGGTTCGCATGAGTTCGCTGAATCGTTGATAAGCCTTGCTTTTGCCCCGAGATCAAAGCGGAACTGGGTGCCTCCGGAAGATTTTTCAGTCGGAAATTGATGCATTCTTCCACATTCTTCCAGATAAAATAAAAAAAGCATATTCATGGGCATAACGAGTGAAGTGTATGGACAAACTGCAATCGCAACAATAATCGCCTCAAAAGCAGGTGAGGCATAGATATCGACGTAATTGTATTGATTTAGCTAGCTGAGTCATTATCGAGAAGGTCACACCTTAAGAGGAAATGCGGTAGATTCGTTCGATATGCAAGCGTATGCATTACGTAGATTGTGACAGTATAACGGTGGCCTAAAGAAAGTTGATGTAAAAGGTCATCACGTGATAGATCCAGAATCAAGTAAGCGTGCCAACGTGTCTGTTTTCATTCAAGCATCTCTGTTCAACAACGCGACGTAAGGCAAATGCTAAGGCTAATTCTACAGCCATAGCAAAGCCTTGGGAAGCAGCTGTGTGCAGCCCTCCAAAACCACCCGTGGGCAAGCTTCATAAAAGTGAGCTAACGCGATAACGGGGCACAGTCATCCCAGAAAGTCTTTTCTCACATCGAACCCTTCCAGCAGTGAAATGGTTGAACAGAACCAGTTCAACATAAAAAGTCAAACTGGTTACTTTGCAAGCATCTTCCAACCTAAAGAGCACTCAGTAGATTCCGTATTGAACCCTACCTGTCCGGCAGAAATAAGGATTTGTTGGTATTCCTACCCGATGACATTGACCAACGTGATGGTAAGTGACATTTCACCGGACGTTTGACGTTGCGAGTTTCTTCAAAGATTGTCATCCAGAATGCAAATGGTCGGTTACATAGTTGCTTGTATTCATGCCTGGGGCAGGTCCCCTTTCGCATGTTTCAGTGCTCATCCCGATGACGAACCCACATTGTCGTCCAAACTGGACGTTCCAATAGGACGTAGCCAATGCAAATGCAGCAAGTTCAAACAACGCTAGTCGAGTCGTAAAGGTAATGTAGAATAGCTGATCAAATAAGGGAATGTGAGAATAATTCAACCATGTTTACCGCCTCTTACTGCCCCTGTCTGCGCCAACTATTCGCCGAGCTACCACGTCTGAAGAATAATGTTGCTGCGTTGATGGGGCCCCGTTAACGGGCCCGAAATGGAAAAAAATCGAGCTGCGGAAAGAGGTCCCATTTATCGGGATTCATGCTGGGACTATCCTGTAGTTTTTTTTCACAACGACTGAGCCAAAACTGGCTGAAAAATGGAACAATCGAATATTCACTTCAAAGAAAATCGATAGAACGCCCCAAGGATTCATGTGTACATCGAGAGCGATCACTGTGAAGGGGATAACTGTCCGTGTAGATTAGAACATAGGCCAATTTGTTCGGTAGATATATGATCCAATGCAGTAGGCACCGTAATAATTTGCAGTATATTCAAGTTTGTTTTTGCCGTCTTCAATGGTTATTAAACCAGCAAACTCACTGTATGAAACTACGGTTTAAAATAAACGAACAGAATAACATGGTATTGAAAACCGGCTTTCTTTTTCATCAGTTTTTTAATGATCCATTTCACTAAATGCAAAACGTGGGGCTGTAGAGGATGACCGGAATAACAACTACAGCAGGACATATATGGGACATAATGTAATCACGTTGACTTGACACTGAGAAGAATGAGGAAACTGATCGATACAATCCAAATTTCAACTGGTCAACGCCCAGACCTGAAAGTGATCGGTACGGTGTACTAGGCAGCAGAGAGGATGCATGAGGGCGTAATGGCTGACAACCTCTTATTAGCTTACTCATCGTTGCTCACTTGCTGCGTCGAAAGATAGGAAGGGATGGAAACGCGCCCACGCCCAACACTAGTCGACCACACCATCAGTGACATCGGTTCGCCAAGGCAACCGACGTCGGGTGTATAGGCGTCGTGCAGAATTGATTATTCAGCGCTAGTAATGCCAGTTAGTAACTACATTAAAAATGTATCAGCAGGTTCTAATGAAATGATCAAAAGCAGAATGAATTGGGAATAATGAAAAAGGATACCCAGTCATAGACAGAAGCCGAAATCTCACATACAACTCCAGGCCAATGATGGAAACGATGTTTGTCACCGTGTACTTAAGGCGGGGTGGATTGTGTAAAACGCGTCAGGAGCCAAAATAAAGACAAATTACCAGAGTCAACAATGACTTGTTCAACCAAGTTCACAGTCCGGGATATGAGAGCATGTACCACGTGATGCAGTAGATTTTTGCTGAGGAACACGATAAGTATGACGGAATTCAATGGCTCAGCCTCATGGTAAGAGGGGTATGGGTCAATAAGTTCAGTGTTGTTCTGTATTCAAAGTGGTGAGGTGCTATTTAGTTGAACGGTAATCAAATCAAAAAGGTGGTCACAAATAGGTGGAGGATATCGGCTGGGATGTGCTCAAAGTCGCCACTATCTGACGATGACGGTACTGCTGACAATGATGATGGCGGTACTAACGACGATTGTGAACTCCTTTAACTCACAGTCGATGAAGTTCAAACGACAAGCCCGAGTTTGAACTCGCGTTTATAGGACGGATGACGAACCAGAACCGAATATCTCGAATGCCTCTGTCTAGTCTTCGATAACATGAAAGTATTTCATCCCTCGTGCTTTCCTCGGCGGCATGGCAGCTAGGCACAGCTGAATGATTATTTATTTCTATTATTAAGACGTTACAACTGGGTACCACTAGGTGAAACAATGCACGACTTGCTCAAACACCATTTTTCACAGAAAGATGGGTTAAATGTTCGCAGGATATTTTGGACCGACGTCCGCCGGTGGGCCTTGCTTGGACTGGTCACTGAAAACATGTTGCATTAATAGATGCTCGCACTTGACACATAACTGTATCGCACCCAGACCAAGCTGCTTAGAGCCTTCACGTCCCGTGGCCCAAATACCATCTGATATTCTGTCAAGAAATCCTCAAACAAAGTGCCTCGTCGGTGACAGTTTAGGAATAAAGTACGACTGAGTCTCCTTTTGTTGACAGACTTTCAGACAAAATAATTATCATTTCAAGAGTTGAATTTCTCATGCTTTTAGGCCTCAGTCTCTCCTAGCTATCACTTTACTCAAACCACTGTAATCAGAGGTACGAAGACCCATGGAGACTTAGAGATTTCCTACATCAAATCATATACTTCGTAAGCAGGAACGCCGGACCACGAGGTTTTCCTCTTGTCAATAATGTTTCATCACTTGCTACCTCAAATGGACCAATAGTTTTTTTCCCGAGGATATCATCTATACACTGGTGCAGTAGGTAGCTTGTTGCAGCTGAGCCAAATGATATGATTAGCCAAGATTGAAGGGAACGTGCTTAACGTTACAGACGACCTCTCAAGGAAACCATCAAATTTGTCTGCCATTATCCGGAGCACTGAGTTTTCGTGTCTACGCTCTATCCATGTAACACTGACAATCAACCAGGTCATTTGCTCGGTGGACGACGAGTGCAACAGTCTTGTGAATAGCGCAAATGGAGCCAGTCGGACGGTCCACGAGATATTAGGTAGATAGGCCTAACATGGACTGTCACAGTGTAAACAGGGTCCACAAAAGTATGGACTAAGTTTCGAATAGAACCAAGCTGGAACCGTCAGACAAAGAACACTAAATCATCAAATAGCAGTGAACGGAGGATACATCATTTTGTCGCTAATATAGACCAGCTGACAACTCTTGGGCACTCCGTCCAAAAGTAGCTCTGCAACCGTGCAGAACGATGATGCTACTTTGGATTTCCGCACGCATTATCATCACTGGACTTGACGCGTGCAGTTGTGTAGGCTTTCCCTATGGGAAAGTTTTTTAATGCGGACGGGAAACTGAACACCGTATACTGTATACACCATTTAGATGATTACTGACTAGTATGCTCGCCAAGCCTTCCAGACAATACGAAATCCTTTGGAAAATGTTTGGGACCGACTGGGTAGTCATCGTTTCAGATAGGTTTGGTAAACAATCGGTGGATTTACTGCTGGACACAAAAGCTTCGTCAGGCCAAGTGAGTAAGTCAGCAGGTTGATTGGGTTTTAAGGCAGTCGGGGAACCAATCAGTGAGATTTCTTAGGACTAGCCGACTTAATCAGTGTTGGGTGTTCAGTCTGATGTTCCTATTTGTTGGTTGGTGGGGACGACTAACATTTACGATAGATTGTTGAACCCGGATTTTTCGTCCTTGCTTTTTCAGTCTAGGTCACCTTAATGGGATATTCCTCTTGGGGTCGTTCACTCCTTTTTAGGCTTTCGTCTCAGTTGCCACTTAATTAAACCCACTGGGTATCTGATATCTTGAGGTCACTTCTTCACCTCAAGCTGTGCTGCTCTTCGGTCAACTTTCTCTGTGCACAGTGCTCTTACTCTCCTAAACATCGTTGAAACTATGCTAGCATATACTGCTTTTGGATGTGCTGAGGAGCAGTTTATGACCGCTTCACTATCTGTTGATTTCCGGTAAATAGTGGTTTTCAATTTCCCACCACGCTTATGTGTTATGCAGTCAAGGAAATGTAGTGTACCCGATGTGGACTATAGCTCCATGCTAAACTTAATTTGAGGGTCTAAATTATTAGGATATTGAAAGAATTTGTTTACCTTATCTCACTTTATCACAACGAACGTGTCATGTCAGAAAACCCTTCGCGGACCCTCGAATCCGTTCAAAGCTTTCTGTTCAAAGTCTTCCATGTACATGTTTTCGAAAGTCGGGGATAGTGATGATCCCATAGCTAAACTTGTTCTTGAGAGTATATATTTGAGTCAAAAACAAAATGACTGAGGTTTGGGCATAGTTTTATGCCTTCAACTGTCTCGTCTACGGAGAGTTGCGTTCGTCCTTGCAGCGTTGTGTGGAAGTAGCAAAAAGGTTTTCACACAATGCTGCTGAGAAACATATCGCTCTAATTACGAAATGACAGCTATGTATGTCCAGTTCAGTGAGTGAGAATGGAAATAGAAGGCTAGACGCCATCTGGGCGACTCTTAGAGTAAACAAATTTCCAACTGGGAAGTGTGGACGATTCATGTGTGTATGACCACTTCAACCACAGCACCAGCAAGTATGTGGCTACCATGGCAACGAGGCTGACTACCATAGAAAAAACATCCCATTACGCAACGAATAAGAACATTGCAGTCGTGCAATCTTTACACTAAGTTTGGTATCCGAAGCAGTACAGAGGAGTTATGGATCACGCTATTAACCGAGTTTCATAGTTAAAAGGCGGTCAAAAGCTATTAATCAAATAATGAAGTTTTGTCCACCATGGCCGATAGATCGATTCCCGATTAGCGCTATTTGTCTTCCCACATGTTGCCGAGATAGACTGTCTAATGAATAACCGATTCAGGCGTTTGTAGGTGGACCTAAGGGATTGTTCGACAACCAATGTTTGGACGTTTCCATGGTGCTTGAAGAAGTCAAGTGAACTGAGCGCGTTGGCAATACACGGTATTCTGGATCAATACCATTTCAGGTCAGGCCACATTTTCAAGCAAAGCATGTAGGCTTGGCAATTAGATCGAGTGGCGGCTCTACAAATAGGATTAAGTGTTTTTAGGGATTAGTAGATTTTCAGGACTGGATCACATGAGTCGAACCAAAGTGAGGCAACATGTGTCCCGATAATGTCTCATGTGTTACTCCGTGGCTAGCGATTGATTCGCATCCCAAAACAGTTCCATCCGAGTAAGAGACATTTTTCAGAAGGTTTAACCACCTGAGGTTTAACCAACCGAGTAGCGCGTTTGTTGGAGGTGTCGGAGTGGAAAGGGAAGATGAGTTCTTATGAGTTTCACCCTCTTACTCGACATATCATTTGCGTATGCTGTGGTCGGCCGCTGCTCAGAGTGCTTGTTTGTTCTTAGGCGTAGCAACAGATGGTCTAGGTATAACGCAGCAGAAGAAGATAACAGTGATCAGGAAACGTTAGAGTGCTGGTGTTGCTCTTCGCGTTCCAGAGTGAGCTGCTATTGACGCTCTGTGTGCTTGACTGGATGAGTTGTAAGATAGTCACTAATAGCTGTAAACGGCGTTTACGCTATTAGTCACTCACTCAGATTGGCTGAGTGAACGTTTTGAGGGGTACGTACCGCTGGGGCTTGCACTAAACTAGCACTAGACTACTCCTTCTTCCCTATTTTCTTCTACTCTTCGTTCGACGGTTCCAGCAGGTTGACACGACTTGACTGAATGAGAGGATTAATGTCAACTTCAAGAAGAACCATAAACCCGGGTACAAAAAGAAATATACTGGATTCAGTAAATTTGCGTATAAAGCTGAAATACCGTATGCAACAAGCTGGATCTTTATTAAAGCATTGTCACGTAGCCAATCATGAATGCCATTTTCTCCCGGTCCTCTGCCTTGATAGGTAGTTGCTAGTATCCGGAACGCAAGTCAAACACCGTGAAATATCGAAATTGATAGAGGGAATAGAAAATCTCCGCAAATAAAGGCACATCCACAACCCGATTTACGGCCAGTTCATTCAAACGAAGGAAATCCACGCAAAACCTGTATTTGCCACTCGTCTTCCTTACAAGCACAACCAGAGAATTGTACGCACTATTGGCTTCCTCGATTATGCCATTTTTCAACATCTCTTGAATTCGTTCATGGATCTCCTCCCGTGGATGCAGCGGTAGCGGACGGGGACCACAAGGTCGAAAGCATTCATAAGAGAAGGGAATTTCGTGTTCAATCCACGGGCGGAAATCAAACGAATCTTCGCCTGTGAACAGTTCGGAGTATTCCTCGACCACGGAGTGTACTGACGGCAGGCTACGAGACGGAAGATTTCGGACATGCAGATCGCTCACGGCAGTGATTGGACAACCTTCAAGCTTGACTGCGCCATACATTGCAACCAGTTTTCCTCGCTTTGCGTCAGCCACGGATTCTGCGCTCTTGAGAAAATTTGCTCCCAAGATAGTCTGCTTTATGTCTTTGTCTTGGCTGATCAGGAACCTGTGCTGCACGGGCTTGTCACCTAGGCGCATTGAGTGCATTGATAATCCGTCAAGTTTCAGTCGGCATCCACACACTGCTCTCACGGCTAGCGTGCACGGTTTGCATTTAGCTCCGTTCCCTCTCCGGACCAGCGATACCCCTGTTCCTGTAGCAATTAGGCACAGCTCCTTCTTCCTGTCTATCTCGATAACGGCCTGTGTCATAGCCTGTCACTGCACTAATCGCCAGCCACCCGGAAAAGGAGGAGTAATCTGAGGTTTTATTATTTACAAGTGGTCGGTTACGAGAACATGGATTCCTGAAGTGGCCAGGCATGCCACACTTATGGCATCGGCGTGCCTCTGCGATTAGGTCTTGATGGCTGTAAGCTGTTCGGCTAGTTGGTCTACTTTGTACTTCAGGTCCTCCACTGGTGAATCCCTCCCGTTGTTCTGCGATTGCAGCATGGCAAGGGCGCCTCGGTCGATTCCCGTGTCAAATGCACCAGGTGCTCCACACTGAACTGGCCAGTTGCTCTCGCCAATCGCATATGGGCCCGAAGCGCAGGCAAAACACCTTCGACGAACTGGTCAGACAGCAACTGCTGGCGCGACACTCCGTCCAGTTCCGGAAAAGCCCAATTCAACGACTGATGCAGGCTGGCGAAGAACACCATGGGGTCGCCTCTAGGTCCGATCCTGGCTGTCTTGAACTGCCTCATAGCCTACCGGCGGTCGGCCGGTGTGCCGAACTCCGCTGCAAGAGCTGCCTTTGAGGTGGCCCAGTCCATCTTCCGAGGAACCCTCCTAGCCACATCCAGGGCCGTGTTCACATTGCCCCTGAGAAGGGTTTTTATCGCCGCTAATTTATTCCGGTCGGTCCCCAGTCCAGCCGCCTCCACAACCTCTTCGAAATCCTCCAGGAAGGCCTGCACATTCCCATATCCAAAAGGTTGTGGCCACGGGATCTTCATCCTTATCTTGGGGACGGCACCGAATGAAAGGAGGAAAGCCCTTCGCCGCAGAATTGTTTATTAGAAAACACGAACTAAACAGTTTCAGACTACTGGACAGGAAAGTAAAACTCTCATATGCACCTTGTTTTTAAAAAAATGAATATCCGTATACTTTTTGAACGCGTCTCCTTGAACTTTCCTGGATAATCGCCAACTCTCACGCAATTGTAAACGAATACAGCAAGGCAGTTCCACAAATTCCTTAGTAAATCCCACCTTCCTTTGGATCAAGGTAAAGTTACGAGGAAACCACATGCTACTCGCATGCCTCACCAGTAGTATCCATCGCTGCACCAGTAGCGTAATACACAACTTTCTCGTGTGGAGAGGCATGAACAGACAGTTAACTGGTCAACTGAATGTATGCTAGCCAACCGAACTGAGGGGCTCTGTAGAAAAAATCGTCCCAAATATGATGTATCAAATAAAAGGAATGATATCTGATTGTGATGATGAAGGAATTTCCTACCTTCGTCGCTTCTGGTAACAGTGAACTCATGGTTTAAAATAGATCGACCACCTGGCTTTGCCATGGAGGGTAGGTGGCTAACAGTTTTCGACTTATCTGGAAAGGATGACGTTGAAAGATACCAGCCAACCAGAATGAGAGCTCCACCCAGTACTGAAAGCCCCCATTTATTTTTACGTGATCATGCGTTGCTCTCTCACTATACACTTTCCACAGTGTTGTCGCTGGTTAATGGCAGAAGCCTATTTAGTTTTGGCTTGAAGACCGTGTGGAAATCGAGACAAACGTAATTTAGAACTGCGGCGAAAAAACGGAATGAAATTAAACAAAATGCAAAGTGATATCGAAGAGACACAGGAAGAAGCTAGGTTTAGAGGACCGAAACAGACTGTCCATCAGTAGAGGCGAGAGGGTGGAAAATTTTATTTCGTATATAAAAAACGCAAGAACTTCGAGCAGACTGACTCCTGTTTTGCTGTTGATTCTGAAGGCGGATGCGCACGATTCAATAAAGGCTGAGGTTCATGCTGAGCTAATCTTCAGAGTGACTTACGGTTGAGTCAAACGTACAAGTCAAGGGCTGTGCTAAATCCAAAAGCATTAACTGTATGTCGTTAGTTTACCTCCGATTCTGTTATGGAATCGCTACAGAGTACATTACTGAAGCACAAACTGGAAAAAAATGGGCTAACAAATGAAAACACTAATTATTTAGCTATAACACCTCAAGGGGGCGATCCTGCCATGCTCCGAGGAAAGCACGAGGCCTGGAACGTTGTCAGGCTGCCCAATCCTAGACAGCAACAGTAAAGATGCTGGTTTGGGCCCGAACCACGGACTTTTCGAATACTTAGTTCGTGCTTCAATCACTGAGCTATCTTACCATCAATTAACTGGTTGTTTAACCGGCTGACATCTACTGATCGGTGCCAAACCGTGTGAACCATTTTGTTTGTGCACCAAGCGATCGTGACCGAAAAACCCCTGAGTACATAAATAATTACACACGTAAAGCACATGTTGATACGAATAGGGATCCATCTGTTCGAAGCGTGGAAACTTCTCATAATATTCCAGTTCACGTATCTACCGAAGTCCGAGGTAACTTAGGCATGATTCTCATTGCTGTGAGATCTATGCAAGGAGCGAAAATTGCTTAGAATAACTAGTTCGTCTCTCAATACAAAGAAGTAACCCCCAGGTTGTGATCCGAACGAATGTTTGGCAACATATCTGAGAGGTGGCCTGTAGAAAAGGATGGTGATAGACTCACTTGACAGTCCCCAACAAAATGATGCATATCCCATGCGGCTTTTAGAAGCTGCTCTCGTGTTCCAATCAGTTCCAGTAGGTCTGCCCATGCTTCATTCACTGAATCTTTGGCGGCTGCAATGTCCGCTGCACCTGGATGACCTTGAGTGATTAGTCGAACACACTGGTCATTTGCCAGAGCAATACGACCAGTTCCATCGGGAACGGTCACTCGTGTGAAATTTAAAAACCGGTCGCGAAGTGCGCAACATTGATCAATGTCGGTTCCGACCTCGTGGCTCCCAGCAATAACCGACTTCTCTGCAATCCAGGCCTGAAAAGAAGTAAATGAAGAAGCATAGGTGGTTGTAGTAGGATATGCTCTAATAACATGAGGGAGGTTTGTGAGTTATTGGCACTACAGCTACATAGGTTTTACTGTCCGCCATGAGATAAAATGCCAAAATATCCATCCCGATTAGTCTGTCCTTGCCACCTTACAACCAAACATGTTCAGCTGGGGCACGACATACAAAGAAAATTTGCCAACGGAAACTCATAATCATCAACGTGAACAGCCAGGCCAACAGTATTCGGAACTTAAATGGGATAAATCTTGTTTGAGGATCATGAAACTTCCATTGAGTACGGTTCTTTGGATCTAAGACTTGGGTATTGAAGAGTAGTAAGGGTTCAAAGAGTAGCATCCAGGCCTGTTATGTTGATCCTATCAAATCCGGTGCATGGTGCACACAGTTGGTGAGCTCGGGTACCCAGCGTTAGCGTATCGACTGCAAGGACACGACCATTGAATATGCACTGCTGTTGAGCTCTAATAAGAGCGAAACTCGAGTCCAGTGCTTCCCCCTCTGGTATAGAGGGTGACGTATGAACAATACATATCCGGCAAACCCCACAACAGATATCTCAACTTATTGTTTCTCGGTGAATGTGATTCAGAACCTCGAATTTCTGTTTCATTCTTCCCGTGAAGTTGAAAGTATGGAAACAAATAAACGTCCCATTTACCAGTATGGTTAGATTCAAACTAAAGGGAAGATCCATTCAGTTGAAGGAACGAAACTAAAATAACAACGCGTTCACGGCTACTCGCTGCTTGCCTAAATCCCTTACAACGAAAATGGCAGTTTTAGAAAATGCTAGTATGGCGTGAGGAGACAACTGAAACGGTGCAAGGTACTGAAACAATGTGTCGAAATATTGGTAGTTCGGGTGTGTGTGTGTGGTGGTAGTGGTGGTTGATCCATTCACCTGTTTGTAAGCCGATTGCCAACCTCGGCGAACAGATCATCATCATCAAAGACAGCAACACCAGTGTTGGCACTGATCTCTTTCACGCCCTTCTGCCAAGTCATGTGCTGTCCACCTCGCGGTTTGCGCCATCCTGAAGGAGGCACGAAGAATAACATTCGTCTCGGTAGACGGTGTTTCGGCATGCGTAGCACATGACCGAGCCATCGTAGTCGATGATGCTGGATGTTTTCCCGGATTGATGTGCCTGCGGCACAATCAAATACCCGTTTTCTAATAAGATCAACTACGATCCGATTAACCAACAAGGCACTGAATCTACTCAAAAAGTAAGGTGGGCGATCAAAGCGCTTACCTCCAAGTCTGAAATTTCTAGGATCAGCTTGTATTTGGAGACACCGAAGACGAGTAACAATTTGCGATCGTTAGACAACTCCACTAAATCTGCGAAGGTACGCTGCACACGGGACTGACCAGACTGGATTATTTGCTCAAACATATCTGCGTGTTTTGCGATGGACTTTTGTTTATCCGTGATGGATGCTGCATCTGAACGCAGCTGGTTTATTTGGGAACGAATGACGCGACCACGATTCCGTAACTCGTTGATTTGCGCCTGCCATTGTCCGATGGTTGTCACACGACTGAGATGTTGTCGCAACATGGAATTGGCAGTCTGTTCATTCTGTTGTGATAAACAATTTGAGGAGATTTAGCAAGAAAACCATTATGGAATGGGGGCAGATTGTCGCACTTATACTGCGGAATAAATTAATCTATGAAAATATGGAATAGTTGAAGCTAAGGGTTTAAGAAAGCCACCAAAATACGGCCAGCTGAAATGAAGGAACTCACCTTGGGTGGCTCTACTGCTTGAACATACAATTCTTGTTCCAAAATCCAGGCCTCGATTTCACGAATATCCAGCGCAAACTTGCAGATCAGCTCCAACGTTTCAAGCTCGTTACGAAGGCGATTTAGTTCACACTCCAATATAGACCAGTTGCCTCGTATTTCTTCGATGACATCCACGAACTTTTTGGCCTGCCCATCCAGTGAAGCCTGTCCTCTATCTCCACAGTAGTTTTTTTCGGCAGTCTGAAAGTGACATCAAAATGAGGGATTTAATACGAACTATGCAATGTAACACTGAAGTCCTGCTCGGCCCTAGGTTTGACTAAATGAAGTATGGTGACAGAAATACGGGTCCGTGAGAATGGCCAGAACAGCCAAATTCAGCAGCAAAATTAAGTCTATGATAACTTTCTTGTACAACCGACAATACCCGAAGGACAGTTTCTCTGTGGCTTTCAGGTTTAGGTGCAACAAGGAACGAGCATGCGTCAAAATACGAAAGAAAGGCGGGGATTAAGACCTTATCCAACAGTCTACCCGTAAGCGAGGTAATTGGGCCCCGTGTAATACACTGTTCTACAGTTTACGGTTGTTCTAACAATTCGTACGCGAATTCAAGAGTTGTTCGCTGGGATACCGGGCAGTTGCATCACGTAGACGTAGTCAGGTGAAATGTTTTTTCAGGAAATTTTCTCGGATTGCACAAATAAATCAGATATCTCTATTCCGACCGATAACACATTGCTCATTTGATAGAAAATTAGAGCGCATACACCAAGGTTCCTATACCAGATGCATCTGTGAAATGCGTTGTCTTCCGAACGGAACTAATAAGAGACCATTCCGCTGTAGCATCCTTTCAGTGCCAGGGCTGTCAACGAAATGAAGTACGAGGGTTGAGACACAACCAAGTTGCCCAAACCTAGACAAGAGCACGGCTCGAACAACGGAACTTCCAGTCAGTAAGTTTGCGCCTTAAACACTAGGTTATCTTGAGCCCATATAGACTAATTTAGTCACGTATAGCGAATCCTTTTAATACGGAGACTGTATACTATATTGTCATGTTTGCATCGCGTGAATTTTCGCTCAAATTACGTCAAGTAGCAGAATGGGGATCCAAATCGAGGTAGCTTCAAGTGCATCGTCACTTTGCAACTTAATATGGAGTGATAAAACAGAAGAGGGACATACTTCACAAAGAATCTTCATTCTTGGTCGTCGGTTGTCCGTCTCAAGTTGATGGCTTTTCAACTGACGTCTCAGCCTTTGAATTTGCAGCAGATGTTGTCCAGTAAAAAGGTTACTTGGTTGCAAGCTTGTGATCATCGACTCCGGTATGAGACGAATTTGTGCGCACTTTTCACGAACCCAAGTTGCCTCAAGAGAAAGGTCCAAATACATTTGAGACGCATCTTTCAGCCTCTGTAACCTATTTTGTTCTTCATCAAGGCGAGTTTTGAGTTGGCCCAGCCCAGTTTCCAAATGCTTCACAGAAACTTCGAGGGCATGTTTTCGGTCCGGGGTTTCCGTGTGATCCACTGCAACCTGAATGCATAAAAGGTTACTTGAGATTCACGGGTTGCGCTAGATGGCAAATTGGCTAATTACCAATAAAAGAGCTAGCCAGGTTCACCCATTTTTACCGAAGAAACTGATGAGTAGGTGCACCAAGATACATGCACTCAATGAGTCGGCTCAAGTATGGTAACGCCAGATTTTTGCAGTCCGAAAAAAAAACAGTTTAATCAGTTGCGTAGGCCAAGTGTCTAGCACAAGACAGTCATAACTTACAATCTTTTTCCTAATAATTCCCTAGACCGAAGTGTCCCGATAATCGAAACGTTGGACTACATTACGCATTGGAAACAATATTTCTGTTATCACAAAGGAAACTACACACAAGGTTGCTGAAAACTCTCCGACAGCCTACGACCGGTTTCGCCCTTCTTTGGACTCATCAGGTAGGTACAGTTTCCGTCAAACTTATGTTCTACTTGAACCCAAATTGCAAATCAGTTTGGTTTTCACGAGAGACTCAACTGAATCTCTCGTTTATAATATTCTGCAACTGAATGTCTTGCACACAGGCTGCCTCGTGTTTCATATTCGAGATATCGCAGTATATTTTCACAAAGGAAACTACTCAGTTGAGTCTCCCGTGAAAACCAGATTGATTTGCAAATGATTATTCAAAAACATTTGTTATTTTCACATTGTTATGGAGGAGGGGCTTCCGCTTCTTCTGAGTGGTTATATGTATACGAGGACACAGCAGTATCCAATCAATATCTGTAAGGAAGCTGCCAGGGCTTTTATAACGAAAACTCTGGTGATCTTTGACCTCACAAAAGACTCCTAAACTTTTTCATAAAGGAAACTACTCATAAGGTTGCTGAAAACTCTTCGACAGCCCACGACCGGTTTCGCCCTTCTTGGGGTTCATCAGGTAGGCCCAGTCCCCGAGTTTCCGTCAACCTTATGATCTAGTTGAACCCAGATTGCACTGTTTTCGAGAAATACACTCATTTGTAAATCAATTTGGTTTTCACGGGAGACTCAATTGAATCTCTCGTTTATGATGTCCTCCAGCTGAATATGCTGCACACAGGCCGCCTCATGATTCAGTTGGCACGATATTCGAGATATCGCGGTATATTTTCATAAAGGAAGACACTCACAAGGTTGCTAAAAACTCCTCGACAGCCCATGACCGGTTTCGCCCAAATAGGGGCTCATCAGGTAGGCGCAGTCCCCGAGTCTCCGTCAACCTTGTGATCCACTAGCGATATCTCGAATATCGTGCCAACTGAAACATGAGGCGGCCTGTGTGCGGCATATTCAGCTGCAGGACATCATAAACGAGAGATTCAATTGAGTCTCGCGTGAGTTGTAAATGAGTGTATTTCTCGAAGACTCCTAAACTTCATCAGACGTTTTTTCCATGGTCCCAAACGAGTATCTCGTGTTGTTGGGAAAAGTGAATGGCCTCGGTTAACACCAGTGTTCATCTCTTATTTGTTTCTGTCTCGTTTTTCAGGACGCAAATGTCATCACCCTCCTCACTCTCAGCTGACTCAAACAGCTTCATTTATTCTAAACGGGACTCGGTTTGTGACAGAAAACGACAAATTAATGTGTAATCTTCAGAAATCGTGGTTGGAATTTGAGTACCAATTTTCATCTTATATTAGATGGTTCCAGAGAACTTTCGCTAAACTGGCTTCTCTACTAGCAGCATCTCAAAAAGTTCCACCACCTGCTGTGCATATAGTGACTTGATTGATCACCCTCCCAGTAGCTGTGATGATGTTCACTGAAATTAGTTGGTCGCGGGAAAAGATTCTGCGATAGGTGACTGTCACACTGTGACAACTGCCAGAATCGGCGGGTTAGCAAACAAACTTAGGATCTAGATTATACCTTCAGAATGCATGGTTCAATATGCGGGCACATGCATCAGCCATGTGGTCTTGATGTATTCCCTAATTCAGATATAATATCGTTGTTCAGCTATATTGACCGACTTTAGAACGGTTTCGAAGGCCATTTATGAGTCAGGTTAAGCTTCCTAGTTCAAATAGCCACACCCCATTTCGGTATGGTTTATCGGGTGGTGATAAGTAACAAAAGCAAACAGAATATGCATGTCCGCGTCGTGAAGGAATTAAGGTCACTTACAGAGCCCGACTGTGACAGAGATCACTTTTTGCATTCTTTAAGGGCGAGCAAGTCTATCAGTTGAAAAGGAGAGCGTATACATAAGAGGATAACAGAGCATATATTCAGTCGTATTCAGCACAGTTTAGTCGAAATAAAACCCGTCGGCTCACGCGCAACTTGTCCAAACACGACTTGTGTTCCGTTAATTGCTTGATCTCCTTCGCATGGGCATTCAGCGACTGCTGCAGTGATGTTATGCACGATGGGTCAGGGATTAGTTGCTGCGCTCCATCTCGCTGATCAGCCTCTCTCATCCGGTCGTTCAACCAAACCATAGTCTTTTGCATTTCTTCTGTTAATATCTTCTCTAAACAGAGAGAGATAGAATGGAACGGATTGGATGCACCGTTGGCGAGGAATGATTATTCATCAAAAACATCGATGATTGCCAGTCATACTGAATGCATCGTTGAATACCTGGTCAGAATTCACAGAAGTTTCCAAATACACCGGCGAAAAGTGCAAACGAAATGGGGACTAGAACAAATTTATCGTTGGCCTCAACCGTTTTCGTGACAGTTCCATTGTCGAAAGTACAACACAAACGCCGATAAAGGGCGGTAAGACTAGGCAAAAGTTCAAAGGATGCTCCACAGCCCTGGTGCATAAGTTTACCGCCATCAATACCCAATCACACTAGGCTTAAACTTACGCAAACGTGAGTGAGGCTACAACTGCATTGTTCAGTACTTTCTGAACTAGGGTCAAATCAGCCCTATATGGATGGCGGCATGTACGTCAACGCCCAAACCCACAATAAATGGGCATGCGGATTTACATAACCAATGCACTTTAGTCTTCTCAAGTAACTCCTCCCAATATCTTCGGGAAACAACAAAACTCACGGCGCATTCAAGGTCAACGAAAGAAAAGCTGATGTCACATGTCCGGACAGGTTGTGAACTTGTACGAAATGCGGCAACTATATTGAACTCTGTAACTATCGGAAAGTTTCTACAACTGCGGTTGAACCATAGAAAAAACATTTCTCAAGAAAAATTCACCGAATTTCACATCCGCAAGTACTGAGATTTTGCAAGTGACGGAATATTCAACCTTTTTGTTACAGGGCGCGAAGTCGATTGAAAACCAAAAAGTGATGACGACTAAGTTACATGAGCACGCCCATTATTTGATCTCAGATTGGGTACTGATTAACCGAGAATGGCTACTTTATGACTGGTAATCACATCCACCTGACGTAAACACAAAAGAAACAGAAGGAATTAAAATGTTTGTTGGAATCTTCAGTATTATTATATTATATATCCCCGGAGGTCCTCACAGTATTCCTTACCCCATCACCCCAGAGTGATTATATTGGTTCAGTCAGCGTATCTGCCTACTTTGTTTACCCTGCGTCAATTATATGTAATCAGGAGTGAACGATGGGACTAGCTATACTTTTGTGTGAAAATTAGGTCCCATTTGAATCACGTCAAGTGTGAGTGATGTTCGCCACGACTCATAATGCCGGACGAGCGGTTTAACAAATTGTGGAGACTCTCACCCAGCACAGGACCACCGTTCGATGTTGAAATCGGTTGAATGGACGACAAGTGCGCACGTAACATTCTAAGGAATTTCCAGTCCTCAGGGCTGATGATCGTAACAGTGCTACGACATTGTCAAGTGTTTGTATATTGTTGATCCGGTTTTATTCCGCTTAGCTGACTTTAGGAATCATATAGCGACCAGGGCTACGGACGATTCACCAGACAGTTCATGTACGTAACTGTCTTCCATATCCGTCCCTCCCCAATTTTCAAGGACTGCAATGAAAAAATCGCGTCACACGAAAGGCCATTGTGAGCCTGCTTGAATGTCCTCATGTAATGTTGTTTCGCATGAACTCACCGCAGAAATGACGTTGTAACGTGAGGGTATTGGTGTGGATGAATATAAGCAGTTTGTTTGTTTCCTTAGACGTTGGTGTTCCACTCCTTGCGGTTATTTTTTGCTACCGCAGTACGGTTCAAACTGGAAACTACCGAGCGCGTCATATGCCGCAAATGTCACCGGTCAACAATTACAAAAAGACAAACTGAAACCGCTCTCCATGAAGAAAATTGTCGTGGCCTTCCAGTGTGGCCCACTGTCAGCACAAAATGTTTTGAGTCTTCTCAAATTGGATGAGCTATTCGAGAACCGGTAGGCCGCACGAAGTTTATAACCTAATGAAATCAGCAAGTGATTCAGTGGTTCACAAACGATCTTACCGAAGTATGACTGTTTATGCGTCTCGATGACCCAGTAAGCCATACTCTGGTTTGTCTGCGTGATAAGTTTATTCCACGTCTGGCATAGCACGATGCCATCAGTAACCTGCGCCACCCATATTTCAATATTATCTCTGGATTAGGTTCTTATTCCAATTAACAATCACATTGTAGTATGTTTAAGCTAATAATATCAGTTTTACCAATTCACTACTATCATACTACATCCACTGCGTCGCTTCCGTTTATCAGACCTTGGTTATCTGTTCCTGTTGCAATCTCTAATGCGCAAACTCTTCAGCAAAACAGCCGGACTTGCTTGTTGCTCTAGCACGGACTTTTGGCATTTTATCAATCTAAATTTGTTGCACTTTCGAGGCTCGAATGTAAGCACTAAATACGATGATTGGATCCACGAAAAAATTGTCACCTAGGCTTTCTGGCACTGTCGAAACTGCTTAGGAAAGCTGCACCGGCTCTCTTATAGTTCTTAACTGCAGGGTAACAGGGTCGTTGCAAGACATCGATCGCCCTAAACACGAGTACATCCTGAAATTTCACGCAGTGTAATGCCACCTCTCCCCCAGTGTAGCACCATGCAAGCGTTACTGGAAACCCCTATAAACACCCCGTTAAGGTGTACGGCCAACAGTTTGAAAGATATATTTTGACCAACTGATGGTCCTACTATTTTTCAAGGAAAGTTCCGACATTGTCCAGGTAGTCGGATAACTCAACACACAACGAGGACGTCAGAGAAGCGGAGTAGAGACCTGACTAGCTAGGACTCAAGACGTTATGGTGATTGTCTTCTTACGAAACACTAAGTGCCTCTCAACGGCACTCGTTTTGGACGCAGTAAATGCGGCTGCATTATCTGGCACACCTATTAACTAACAACCGGGAGGCTCTATTGAACACAGAGTCATAAGCTTTCAAGGATTAGGCTTTGTGCTTGATACAATATGTCGAGCTTTCTAGAAGATACACTCACATCATGCTCTCGTCCGTTCGGGGAAATTTCAGGGACATTGAGAAGCAAAGTTTCGGAAACCTTGTGGCCAAACAAGCTTAGCAGAGAAACCCATACGGAGCTTTAAAAACTGCATTTTTGGGGTATGTTAGTCGTAACCGAGTTGAGATGAAGTCTCCGTGCATACGACAGGAAACTTGGTGTGGGTGTTTCTGAGAACCCATCAAACAATTACTGAACTTCAGAACTCTCATTGTTGCTCCTCTGTGCCTGACGTCCAATCGCATTCATTACAGCGAGTTCATCGGTTCGTATCCCTAGTGCTTCCGGGATCTCATGCAACACGATCGAGTGCGCCTATATCCAGACGATACACATCTAGAGACTTTTGTGCCTCAAAGGAGACAGAAAAGAGTTTGCCTAATGAAGAAGCTAAACCTGACCGAGTAAAAACATAGGAGAACAAATGGAATCGGTAGAACCCAAACACGCAACACCATCAAAAGCAAGAACCATCTATTCCAACACTGTGACTCGGATTCTGGTGTTCATTTCAGTGCTGTCTTCCGCGAAGATTCTTGTCAATAAAGGAGCAATTTGTGAGAGAATGAAAAACAGTTTAAAGAGAGATCCAAGGCAGTGACGGTATGCAATGCTACTACCGTTTATGGCGCATGAATGCAAATAATCTAGTTGCTACAAAAATCTTGACATTAGTCCCTTCGAGATGCAAAAAAATACACGGATAAATAAAACTGTACGTGTAGTTCGGTCCCATAGACCAAAGAACGACATGACTGAACAAACCAGATAAGTCGTTATTCGCGTTGACAACCGCGTGTCTCACCCGAAAATTGGGATGATTCAGATCGAATTACAGCTTTATTTTTCCACCACTACAAAGTGCAACCACTGGATGCTATAGTCATTCAGGCTAAGCTCCTACAGGAGGCGCCTTCGGAAAGCACATAGTGAATAGAATGGAGGGTGTCTGTTTCGAATGGTTCATCTATTATAGACAACGTATTCAGTGGGGTTCCGGGTGAGGCACCCATCAAAACCAAGTTGGCACGCAGATGAGTGTATAAGTCAAATTTCGTGCAATTTGGGTTCGAGTAGAATATGAGGTTGACAGAAGCCCGAGGAATGCGCCTACCTTATGAGCCCCAACAAGGCAGAAACTGGCAGTGGGCTGTCGAATAGTGTATTAAATTTGTCTGTTCTATTTTTACCATAAGCTAGCTCAGCGGAGTTCACGTTTTCAGTTTAAACAATCTTGAGAGGATGTCTCAGTCAAGGATGTCTGGCCAAGATCGGCTTTAAAAGTGGTGGTCTAGCACACGGAAGTGCAGCCTTCCATGAAGATGATAATCATAAGGGAATCATTAATGTGTGTCTAAGAAAGAAAAACTGCGATGATAATGCAGGTCTCGTCAAATATACCGTTTTAACCTCATTTTGACAAGGGACGAGAAGTGTGGGGAACGAAGATAACTCAATAAAGGAGAAGAATGGACATGGACTGGCACTAGAAGTGATACTTGAAACCAGTAACTGTTTACGCAGAATGGATTCGGTTGTATTCACTCATGAACAAGTTACGCATTCTTCCGGCGACAGACTCTATCCAACAAAAGTACCGTCAACTTCGGGCAGCCAAACCATCACTACAAAGAAACGTTAAGTCCATCCTTTACTCATTAATCCTCCCAATATCTTCGGGAAACAACAAAACTCACGGCGCATTCAAGGTCAACGAAAGAAAAGCTGATGTCACATGTCCGGACAGGTTGTGAACTTGTACGAAATGCGGCAACTATATTGAACTCTGTAACTATCGGAAAGTTTCTACAACTGCGGTTGAACCATAGAAAAAACATTTCTCAAGAAAAATTCACCGAATTTCACATCCGCAAGTACTGAGATTTTGCAAGTGACGGAATATTCAACCTTTTTGTTACAGGGCGCGAAGTCGATTGAAAACCAAAAAGTGATGACGACTAAGTTACATGAGCACGCCCATTATTTGATCTCAGATTGGGTACTGATTAACCGAGAATGGCTACTTTATGACTGGTAATCACATCCACCTGACGTAAACACAAAAGAAACAGAAGGAATTAAAATGTTTGTTGGAATCTTCAGTATTATTATATTATATATCCCCGGAGGTCCTCACAGTATTCCTTACCCCATCACCCCAGAGTGATTATATTGGTTCAGTCAGCGTATCTGCCTACTTTGTTTACCCTGCGTCAATTATATGTAATCAGGAGTGAACGATGGGACTAGCTATACTTTTGTGTGAAAATTAGGTCCCATTTGAATCACGTCAAGTGTGAGTGATGTTCGCCACGACTCATAATGCCGGACGAGCGGTTTAACAAATTGTGGAGACTCTCACCCAGCACAGGACCACCGTTCGATGTTGAAATCGGTTGAATGGACGACAAGTGCGCACGTAACATTCTAAGGAATTTCCAGTCCTCAGGGCTGATGATCGTAACAGTGCTACGACATTGTCAAGTGTTTGTATATTGTTGATCCGGTTTTATTCCGCTTAGCTGACTTTAGGAATCATATAGCGACCAGGGCTACGGACGATTCACCAGACAGTTCATGTACGTAACTGTCTTCCATATCCGTCCCTCCCCAATTTTCAAGGACTGCAATGAAAAAATCGCGTCACACGAAAGGCCATTGTGAGCCTGCTTGAATGTCCTCATGTAATGTTGTTTCGCATGAACTCACCGCAGAAATGACGTTGTAACGTGAGGGTATTGGTGTGGATGAATATAAGCAGTTTGTTTGTTTCCTTAGACGTTGGTGTTCCACTCCTTGCGGTTATTTTTTGCTACCGCAGTACGGTTCAAACTGGAAACTACCGAGCGCGTCATATGCCGCAAATGTCACCGGTCAACAATTACAAAAAGACAAACTGAAACCGCTCTCCATGAAGAAAATTGTCGTGGCCTTCCAGTGTGGCCCACTGTCAGCACAAAATGTTTTGAGTCTTCTCAAATTGGATGAGCTATTCGAGAACCGGTAGGCCGCACGAAGTTTATAACCTAATGAAATCAGCAAGTGATTCAGTGGTTCACAAACGATCTTACCGAAGTATGACTGTTTATGCGTCTCGATGACCCAGTAAGCCATACTCTGGTTTGTCTGCGTGATAAGTTTATTCCACGTCTGGCATAGCACGATGCCATCAGTAACCTGCGCCACCCATATTTCAATATTATCTCTGGATTAGGTTCTTATTCCAATTAACAATCACATGGTTGTATGTTTAAGCTAATAATGTCAATTTACCAATTAACTACTATCATACTACATCCACTGCGTCGCTTCCGCTTATCAGACCTTGGTTATCTGTTCCTGTTGCAATCTTTAATGCGCAAGCTCTTCAGCAAAACAGCCGGATTTGCTTGTTGCTCTAGCACGGACTTTTGGCATTTTATCAATATAAATTTGTTGCACTTTCGAGGCTCGAATGCAAGCACCAAATATGATGATTGGATCCACAAAAAATTGTCACCTAGGCTTTCTGGCACTGTCGAAACTGCTTAGGAAAGCTGCACCGGCTCTCTTATAGTTCTTAACTGCAAGGCGACATGGTCGTTGCAAGACATCGATCGCCTTAAACACGAGTACATCCTGAAATTTCACGCGGTGTAATGCCACCTTTCCCCCAGTGTAGCGCCATGCAAGCGTTACTGGAGACCCCTATAAAAACCCCGTTAAGGTGTACGGCCAACAGTTTGAAAGATATATTTTGACCAACTGATGGTCCTACTATTTTTCAAGGATTCTCTACTCTACCTTGAAAGGAGTTCTATTGAATGATGGCGGAACAACTTCGTTTTGTACTTTGGTCAAATTGTGAAACCTAATTCCAAGATTACATTACATGTAAAAGACTCGAGAAGAACCTTCCATTGTATCTTCATTCCAAAAAATGTAAGTAAAGCGACTGTTTAAAACGATGAAGTAAAATTCTCGCAACAGTCGCAACTGAGGTTCAACAAGTCTGCAACGCCTAACCTTATCACGCGAGATGTGAGTCAGGATTTCGACCAGGTAGATAATACACTCAACACATTCCCCATACTACGTAGACGCTTATGCAGCGCCGCGCATACCACGAACCAACAGTCGCGGGTTTACTTCACTTCTTTTCCAAAACAGCCCACGACAATGTGGACGCATCGGCTCTTGAGTGTATACTTGATTGCAGCTAGTGAATATCCTTCGTGCGACTTAAGACTTTACTTCTGATCACCTTGGGGTTTATAATGAGCCATCCAAAGGTTTCTTTACAACCAGTAGGATCCACTGGTTGTTCCCCTTGGAATACAATCTTTAAGGGATAGTAAAATTCCCTCTGGAGATATAGTACTGGATTTCGATTAGGCGCATGACATTGCTCTGTTATTGCACTCCCAGCAGCACAAAGAAAATGAAATATTGGAGATGGTCCCTTGCTTCGGCATGCAAGTTGCGCATTCGGCAACAACAATTCTTTCAAATACAAAATGGCAAATTCAGCAGAAAGAATATTTTGAACCAGGAATCGTTAACATCGACACCACTTTTTTCTACTTTAAGGTATAATTATTCCAGAAATCTCACGTTCCGTAGGCACTGATTTATCACTCTCTTTAGTATATCCAGTATATGTCCAAAGAGGGAGGGGGAAATATTCAAGATACTATTGGAGGCACCTGATAAAAGAGCCAAGAGACTTCCTCACCAATGAAATTGCACTCATTCAAAACGGAACAGACATCCGAAATTGTATGCGCTCGTTAGTGGTTTGTAGTACAAGCTTGTGAATACTTACAGAATCCAGTGGCTTAATAAGAAGCCTTTGGGGATGTTATTCAGGCTGAACAATAAATGTTAATATCCGTTTAATATGTCTGACATCCATGTATAGACGCAATACACTACTCATAAGGTTGCCGAAAATTCTTCGACAACCCACAAAATTTATTAAAAACCCTCCATGTCGACCGCTTTCACAAGTTGGTGCGACCTGTACAGGAGTTCTGTTGTAGTAAAAAAATGTTTGATCTCCACGACTCACTTTGTTGCACTTGCTGGGTTTGTGTGGACAGATCGTGGACTAACGAAACGAGTTCATCCCATAGAGTGTGTATCCGGTCCAAACGGGTCTGAACTTCGTTCTCTAGATCCGGATAGCCTTCAGCTAGTGTCTGACCCATCTGAAAAAGTAAAAACATTGTCCCACATACAAGTATACGTGCTATGTCAAAATCTAGTAAACGCTCATGCTGTATTGAAAGCCTATTTCTCATCGCATTGAGTGAATCAAGAGTTGAGTTTCTCAGTGTGGGGAAAAACATGTTATAAGGATGATAAAAACTGGAAGGATTTCTGTGCACCGGAAACGCTGTCGTAAGGGCTTTTGGAAGAGTACAATTAATCTTTTTCGAGTATTATGCATGGACATACAATAATAAAAATAAATAATCGTTCAGCTGTAGAACCCTTTCAATGCCTAACTGCCATGCCACCCGAAGGTTGCACGAGGGCTGGGATACTACCAGGTAAAAGCACAGTTGAGAATTGGTCCAAATTCACGTGCAACAGTGAAAGTGCTAAAGAAATCAAATGCTCTAGACCTATGTAAACTGAGAAAGAAATCATTTCGTGAAATACTTGAAGTAGACGTTCACGTGACCGAGGGTATGATGGAATTTCGATAGGTGAAGCAAACATGTAGGTCATGCGTTGCTAACTGGTGTCCATTCGTCACCGAGAGGACGCAACACAATGAGGTCGACTGCTTGTAACAGTCGAGTTGCAAACTTTGAACGGTGTAAATAAAAGCTGATGTGAACGAACGATACCAAGAGATACCCATTGAATAACGGGTTCGGACAAAGAAAAAAGGGTTGAGTAACGGTCGATAAATTAAGCATGCATATCCCCTTACGTAGTTCACAATACCTGTTGTATATCGGGCACATCAGAAAGATACAAGCGCATATGGTCTTGAGACCGTACATTGCTTCCAATATAAGTATGCTGAGGACAAGCATGTAAGCAGAAACCAGATAGTTGATTTTCTTACAACATTCTAAGTTTTGATCCTCATTCCAAAACAAGTCTTAAGCAGCAGCTAGAAGACAACAATGGGCTGCTCACACTGTCTTCCGGGGAACTTTGTCACCCAAATCCAAATCTGCCTTGGGAAGCCGGTTTTCACTCTAAAAGCAAACGTCGTTGGGAGGCACCCACATGAATAGCTAACCTTGCTGTCTGATTAATGTTAGTCACAACGTCTAACATAAGTGGGTTGGGTTTTAACAAAAATCCGGCCCACTAATTATTGTCCATTAACCCCTTTCCCTTTGTACTAGTCCTCACTGAGGCTCAAACCTCCAAATCTTGGCTTTTCCAGTCATGCACTTCATCTGTGTTTCCGTTTCTACACTCACTCCCTTATACTCGTTTGAAATCTTCACGGTGGACAAACGAAATTCTTTCAGATTTGTGAGCTTGAATTCAAACTCTTTAGAATAAGAGAGACGCGGCCTCTTTTTTATATTTGTTGAGGCTTTAAACGAGAACAAACAATTTAGACATAATCCAGTGAATAAACTTACACCTTCGACGAATTCTTGACCTAGAGATCCTGTATGCAGGAAGGCCGAATTATTCTACAACTTTGCTAGCCAGCTTTCCTCCTTTCGTACCTGATCCAACCCGATCCGCAACCGGGACGGCCACGTTACTTAGACGCTTGTTCTCTCTTAACCTCACACTCAGGTGATCACATTATAAGCCCCTCTATTAATGTGACTTTTCAGTACACTGCCTTTTTTCTTCTTTCCTTCGCCCCTCCCCCCCACGAAGAGAATTCGTAACCCGCTATGTATTATGCCGATACTCTCCCACTGGCTGGGACGGAAGGATTTTGGTCAAATGGCAGTTGATCTTTTTGATAAACTTGGTAATTTGCTTGAGGATGTCTCGTCGCCACTTGTTGCATCTTTAGTATGCAGCTTTTAGACGAACAGATCAACTGCCACCTGATCAATCGTCAACTTACGCACCCGAATTACCAGTATTTCGACACTCATCATCATCAAAGACAGCAACATCAGTGTTGACACTGAT